CATATTCTCATCCCTCTCATTGTCTTCGAAAGAAACATCATTTATTTTTTGAACAGATATTTCGGCAGTTAAAACACTGGTCAATTTACATTATGTTTGAATATAATTTATTGTGAATAACTTTCCACTCGTACAGACACTGGCGCGGTGTTCACGTTCGGCAAGTCGCGGTTCGCAGACAACGAGCCGAGCCACTTCTTTATCAAGAACGACCCTGTGGTCGCCATCTCGTGCGGCGACGAGCACAGCGCCGTCATCTGTCGTGAGTAATTAACACCGCTAATTTAGCTACTCATGTTATAATATAAACATATTCAATAGGCTGGCTGATTTTTAATTCATTAAAAATATTGATCAAATGAGACCTCACTCGGTCAAAATTGGTTAAAACGTTTATGCTGCTGAACCTCACAAATGTAGGCACATTGACAAAGTTCAAAGATATATTATTTAGTGGGTAAGTACTTAAGAAGTCAGAAAGTTTATCTAGTATTGTTAACTTGTAAAGTTAAAGCGTAAGAGCTGACAATTATCTCTAGATTTTACTCCTCTGTGATTTTTGTTAACGATCTTTATGAGCTTTAAAGGTTTATTATTTAATAAATAATTACTGTATTTTAAGCAGTCCAGACGATCTTATCCAATACCAGTAATAAAGCATTTCTTTACTAAACAAAGCGGTGACATTGACCTTTGTCAAGTAACGATTTAATTGGCCCTTTACGTGACTTAAGACTTCAGTTAAAAGGCATGCATTGAACAGTAACATAGGACATTGATCTTTTACTAGGATTAGTTTTATGCTCACATATTTGCAGTTTCGCGTGTGTGAAACTCAAGTTATGCCCAGCTCACATTATTGCTATTAAAGCCTATAATATAATGCACTAATTGTTCTTCTTTAGTGACAAATCAAATGTCTTTTTTCTTTTTCTCGGCCGTTAGAGTCTTGTAAGACTAGCCGTGGTCATCATATATCACATTAACCTTTAGGGCAATTGAGGATTTCCTAGTGTAAATTATTCCTTAGTACGGGTTGACAGTATAGTATATAGCAAAGCTTTGGGAATACTGCGTCGATTCACTATGTGTGTGTTGCGCAGAGAATGGCCGCGTGTTCGTGTTCGGGGGGAACGCGTGGGGACAGCTGGGGCTGGGCCACCGTGAGGAGGCGACGCGGCCCAGCTGTGTCAAGTGGCTCAAGCCCCAGCGCGCTATGTTCGTCGCATGCGGACGCGCACACACCGTCTTCGTTACAGGTTACAATAAACTTTGTATTTACTTAAACTAGACTATCATATGTCTATATTTTCTTTAAATTCCAAAAGACTTATACCTACCTAATGTTACTGATATTTTAACATCATTAATATTTCAAGATACAAACGCGATCTACACTGTGGGCTGCAACGAGGAGGGCCAGCTAGGTGCGGGCGACACAGAGCCGCGAAGTGTACCGCACCTTGTCGAGCTGGAAGCCGCGCCCGCGCCTGTGCGCCAAGTTTCCGCCGGCAGCAGCCACACCGCTATACTTACAGGTGTTCCTACTTCTCACAGGACACACTCTAGTGTGATTATACTAGTCACATTTCCGTCGGTCCCAATAGTGGATTTCACCAGCACCAAAGTTAAGGGTTTGGTAACAACTTCAACATATGTATGTACAGAGGATGGGCGAGTGTTCGTGTGCGGGTCGAACTCTGAAGGGCAACTGGGCGTGGGCGAAGGCACACGCAGCTGCAGCCGCCTCACCGAGCTCAAGTTCATGGAGCGCATCTCTTTCGTGGAGTGCGGATACTATCACACCGTCTTTATTACCGGTAATAGAAAGATAAAATACTTTGTGGACGGTGCAAACTTTAATTACTAGTATGAAGCTTCTAAGTTTATATATGCTAACCAATGAACCAGCGAATATTTCGAATCATCTGGGTTCTGCTGGACGCAGGCCCTCTTCAAATTATCCATCAAAATTAGCAAGGTCTCTATTCACTCCAATTTTAATTTACGATATTTACTTACAGAAAAGGGTGCAGTTTTTGTAACAGGCGATAATGAGAATCAGAAGCTCGGTATCCCCAATACAGCCACTACGATATACTCTCCGGAGGTGCTTCCGCTTAATGTACCGATCAAGAGCGCGTGTTGCGGCGCTAACCATACATTTCTATTGTCTATGGACGAAAGTCAGATACTGGCATTCGGTTCCAACGAGAAAGGCCAGCTGGGGATGCCGCAGGAAATGGAAAATGTCACCACCCCCACTGAGATAGATATGGAGAAAATGTTCGATGGGTACCAGCTGAAGCTTGTGGCTTGCGGTGCGATGCATACAGCATTTGTCACCGGTGAGTCTTATGTCTTAGTTAATCTTTAGTCATTTGTACTTTTTAATCTATGTTTCTACATAGAATAAGATTTATAATTTTTTGCACTATAATTCGGTCATTACCTGACTTATCGCTATCATTAAATGTGTTGTTATTTTTATTAAATGGTTTGCTATTTTCAAGTAACGTGCATTTGTTAAAGGACAAACATAGGGGTTACTGACAGCAGTCATTAATTATACACCTGCATGGCATGTAAATGAAGTTCTTAAAGGAAAATTAAAACTTGAAAAAAAAACAAATATCAAGCAAGTAATAACGAAAACTAATTTTTATTTAAGTTGTTCAGAAGTGTTAAGTAATAATTATTTGTCTATAAATTATCCATTTTATTTAAAAAATAAAATTCATTATTAGCTCAATATTTTGGTTCTAAAAGTTGCATTTTTTTGCTGCAACACCACTGCTATGATACTTGTATTTAATGTTCTTCATAGTATCCATACATCCATAAAATCAATTTCTTAACACACGATATTTTTTAAAACAATGTTTTCATTTATATACTTACCATATGTATCAGTATCGCGAATTCATTACAGATAACGGTCTACTTTACACATGCGGCGAGTCGCGACACAACAAACTGTGTTTAGAGGAGGAGGCGGACGTCGATAACTCGAACGAGGCAGTACCTAATCAATACACGCCCAAGCGGGTCACCGCCATGGACGGCTACATCGTCGACAACGTATCTTGCGGCGGCTGCCACACGCTGCTCACTGCCACCAAGAGTTCCAGCGACGATTTATTAAACAACGGATTGAGTACATCGCAAGAGCAAGCCCAAAAAATGACTTCAATCGAATTACCACCGCTACAAAAAGTACCGGGGCAAAATAAAATCGGCGATATGTTGACTGGCGACGTTCTAAATTCCAACTACAACGAAAACCACACGGACACTGTGAACGCAAACAATCACGAAGAAATTGGATCGATAGATTCATTAGAAGCGAACGTGAGCGGTTCACACATCGTCAACATAAACGACCTTGATGAAACTGGTAGTACACACGAAATACCGGACATAAACAAAGATGACATACATTCGACTTCGGTAATAAATGCTGAAATGAAAGGAACGCCTTCACCGGCGCTTGCAGAAATCGAAACAAAGGACATTTTACGAAGCCCGGGTAAACTTGTTGATAAATCCAAAGAAGAAATTGGAGACGTTATCCACAATTTAGAGAAAGATGCAGTAATAAAAATGGAAGTCGTTGAAGATATTATACATAAGACGGAAGCAAAATTAAATCCATTGCATATTGATGAAAAGACAACGCTTGAAATACCGGATAAAACTGCAGAAATAACAAACTCTCCGCCTCCAAAATCGCCGATCATTCAGGATTTGCTCCACATACCAGACATATCGCAAATGAGCCCTAATTTGAGCACGCATAGTGATGATGGTCAGAAGAGTGAAACGGGACAGTCTGAAAACGAGACGATCTTATGTGCTTCGGACAAATCTAGCCCTCAAGCTGGTAAAACTAAAACACAAGCGGTATTGCCCATAGTAAGAAGTGAAGATCATATCGATTCAAATGAAGACGCCCACAATGAAGGCGTAGTAGTTGAAAATAAACTCGAAGAAAAGGGTCGCTTTGCACGTATCTTCCAATCAATCAGAGAGAAAGAGAATTCTTGCATGGGCAAAGGAAAAGTTATCGAAGAAAAAGTTATAGGTAAGCAAATAGACCATTTCATTTTCATTTTGATTGATTAAAATATTTGGTGCAATTCATGTAATTGCTATTTCTTTAAATAAATATTCATAGAAAACAATAAAAAAAGGTAAAAAGTGATTAGAACAGCTTTTCGTTATTTTACCCTTATTTAAACCTCTAAATATTTAGAGCTGTTTGTACTTGTATATATGAGTTCTTTATTTTGTAATTTGTCAGAAAACGTCCACAAAGGAATGGACACCGCGGAGGAAGCCGTGCACAAAGTGGAGGAAAGAGTTGAAACAGAAATAAGAAACCAAACTAATTCAAGAACTTGCAACATTTTATAATTTAGATGATAAATAATTTGTTTTGTCTTTTATAAATGTTTAAAAATTTCGATAATCTTTCTATTCAACATTAAGGCATTATTAATTTGTATATTTGTTATAAAACTTATTTTTATCTTAACATTGTTAAAGAAAATTATTTCGATTAAATAATTGCTAATATTCTCATTTTATCAGTAGTTTTAATTTTACATATTACATTTGGTCTACTATGCTTAAAACTAGAAAATACGCTATTTCTAAAGGTACATTGGAGGAAATTAAACAATTTGATCTTTGTAATCCTGGCGTAATGACGCTGCTGGTACCATTATATCATTTTCCTTATTTTCATAGTACGATGCAGACGTCGTCGAAAAACGTGTTTTATAATAATATTATTTCAATCAATGCTTTAAAAATTAAAAAAACTAAGCGTATGACTTGTTTATCTCTTCATCGTCAAACGTTAAAAAAATCGTACATAATTGGCTCGACAGCAAACGAAACGGCCGACGTACATTCCGGCTCGTCCGGTCTGTGTGAAAACTATGTATATATTAAAAAAAAAACAGAATTAGCCCAGAGGGACGTTTATTAAATAAAATTGTGACACGTAACGTTAACAGTTCTACAAGGAATGAATGTTCTGGTTAGTGTTATGCGAGTGTAGACCGAGCCTTAACTTCGTCGGCAACTGCTCTTTTAACTTACGGCCAATCTCTAAGTTGGCAGCTTCATGTTTTAAGTTCGTCATCCAAACACCTGTAGAGACAATTCTTTTTCATATTTTTTAATAACTAATAACTAAATATACATTTTTATACATAACAACTCACCCACTTTACATTTGGCTCGTATATTAACCACAACGCCACAGATTTCCTCTTCGTGTGGTAAGTTTTCGCCGATAAGTATCAGAACCTACATTAACCATAATAAGTTTAATTTATAAAAAAACCGTGTCACAGTGTCTTGGAATTCGCCACGCCATTCTCTATGAGGCTGTGTGATAAATATGTTGATGTTTTGAGCTATGTTTGTATAACTGTCAAATTTTACCAGCGTTGGTATTTAAACGTTGTTGCCGCTGCTTTCTCAAATGGTAAGAAAGGGAGGACTATATGTCTTGTACAAGTGTATTAACAACTGCCCATTGTTTAAAACTACTCAGCACTAACCACATATAACCAGATATTGTCGAGGTCTGCGGCGCGCTTTCTGTCAAGAGTCAGCAGCCAGCGGCCGCCCTGCTCGTTGGCGGGATCCTCCCACATCGGCCGAATGCCCTTTTTGAACACCGCGTAGCCTTGTCCTATCGGTAACTCGGACGGTGTTTTGGTATGATGATATATACTAAAAAATAATTACAAAGCAGTAACACTCGATGTTATTTTGTTTTTTAGGAATAAGCCTATCGATACAGACAAGCCGTAATTTAAAGGCCGCAAGTCTAAGGGTGTCGATGACCTCTTAACACTAAGGATCGTATGGCTCATAAGCTTTATAAAGTCACACAAATTCAGTAAACTCACCTCCAATAATCTTCTACCGTGTCAAACGTTGTCAACTCCACAAGGTTCTCACTCCAATCTTTGCTCGTATTCGTATACATCCAAAAACTCCACGTATTTTGTAAAGGATGTTTAAAACTTAACAGTTCCATGTTTTCGGATTCGATGAGTTTATCGTTTTCCATAGCCTTCAATAAAATTATATCTTTAGGAAAATATTTAATTAAGAACTGTTAACGAGACTCGTTCAACATCTATGTTTATTTAATATAATGTTGTCATAGCATTTTCTTCAGTAGGAAGTTGTTGAAATCTTAAATACGAGAACCTAACGGAGAGTTTCAAATTCTGAGTAACTTAACACTTACAACGCCTCTAAAACGTCGCTTAGTTAATTTGAAAACTTTGAAAGAGTTTTCGAAATATTTGTAAAAAGTAAATAATTATAAATATTAAAAGAGTTATTGATAAGAATAAAGTCCAGACTCCAGAATTTTTGAAATAACAGCATTATTTATGAAATACTTACATTTTTCTTCTTCGGTTTAATACACGAGGCCATAACAAATTAAAGATAATCCGCACTAAAGTAATGGAATATTGAAAATGCAATAATTTTTTTTTTATCACAGATAAAAGGCAACAGGCAACTTATAAAGACCTCTTATCAAAAATTGCCATGTTTGCGATACTTGGTATTCCCCAGTGTTCTCCGTAAATGTTGCAACTACTACAGATGTTTTGTATATTTCGTAGAGTAATTTGTCGACAATGCACTCATAAAGTGTAATTTTTTTGTAGATTTGTGGTCAAAAAAATTTAAGCACTCTTATGCTCAAGTTATTTGTCCCAGGGGCATATGTGAAACTAAATCATGATAGCTCACTAGCGCCCCCTTTTTAATTTGTTGTAATCATAAAAGCCGAAAAATGCACGACAGCTACAGTACACAAGCGTGACAGTGGTACGCTAGTGAGCCGTCATAATTTTGTTAGACTTCAGCCTGACAGCCTTGTCGGACTTTGATAGCAAAAGCCTTTCTCATCGGACCAGATATCCTTTCTTGACTATAGACCATCCTGGACTATACGCCTATGAACGTCAGCCTAATTTGTCTATGGTTGAGCATGTGGTTTGAAAAAAGTTGTTATCCGAAAACTTGTCGCCCATTTCGTCTGGAAATATAATCGTTTCTAGTAACATTGTAAAGTTATTACCAGTTATTACTTTCAAAAGAGTTAATTCCAAATATATGTATAATGGTTGACGTTAATTTAATGTTAAATTTATAAATTGAGTAAAAAATCTGAAATTTCATTAATTTCGAACTAACCGTGGGCTTCTAGGTCCAAAATCCACGTTTAATACATATTGTTCTGTTTTATCTATGATTATGACTGGGGTCACGATGTATACAGAGATTTTTGTGTCAGAAAACAGTTAATCTTTCAATGGAATATTCTCCCAGCTGTTCTTCAATTAACTAAGTTATATATGATAGAAGTCCTTGTTTATTTGTAGGATTTTCATCTTTAAGGTTATGTCACAAATTTTATCTTTATTCATCAACCAAAACTGTTTTGAGTTGAAACTTTTCACAAGTTTACATTGAAGGTAAGGAGTAAATTGTAAATAAAACCAAAGCTTTATTTTAGTACTTTTTATACAAAATACCAAAACATTCTTTAACATATATGCGCAAACATCAATTTCAAACAATGAGTTGTTACACTAGCGAGACATAAACCATCGTACAGGGATACTAAAGCGTGACAAATTAAATAAACAAAAGTGTTAAAATGTTAAAAAAAAAGAAAATTCTGAAGTCAACTTCCTGAATCACCGGATACTTAATAAGTAGTAAATACAGACTTACAACTAGGTGACCATTTTAACATAACCGAGCATAGCTTTAGTACAAACATCAGACTTTTGGTTAATCGATAGTCAATAACTGCTGGTTGAACCAAGCTCTCGTTACGAGGCAGATGTGAATGACAACATAAATACTACTTCTGTTAAATAAAACATATCTCAGGGCAGCAACGGCCGGAGATGACAAAGTACACACTTCTGTTGACAAATACTTACACAATGTAACTCTGAAAATATCCATTCTCATGGCTTATTTGTATAACTTCGCCATATTGAAATGAAAACCCAATTATCTTCTTTTATTACCAATGTCTTTTCAGACAAAATATTTGGAGTTATTCCAATATACAATACATTTCAATACACAAAGTAAGAAAACACTACAAAGATCCATAACAAAGCCTTTACATAATTTTGGACCACAACTTGTAATATTTAGCACACAACTCTATTTTGGCCTGCCTCAGTAAAGTATACAATACTTCAATAACTGTATTATTATTTTGTTCTTCAGTGAGTTGTGTGACTATATTTGTTGTGTACAATTTGTGACCTATCTTACTTACAATAATTGTCCACAGAAGTTGTACATATTCTAAAAATAATTACATTAAAACATGCTTCATTTTAAAGTCATCTCTTAACCGTTGTTGCTTATTCTAGACATTATTTTAATAATCTAAACAGTATAAAGATTCTTTGTTGCAGAACTATGTTTAACCATAGTGTCTCTGTGTAGCTGGAAGCCAATTTTTCCATGGATGCCTAGCTGCTCTTTTATTTTCCTTCCAATCTCAAGATTGGCTTGTTGCTTTGATGTATCTGCCGTCCATACACCTAAAAAAATAATAGTAGTTTTGAGCATGTTGTAACAATTAAATTAATTTTAAATTAAATTTTGTAGTATTAATTTAATTACATAAATTGTTACATTTATAAATTATGATTAACTAATTATTATTGCCGAGGTATATTTCAATTTATTAATCTTTTATGGGCGCAAAATAATAAAACTCAAACTCACCAATTTTATCAAGTTTAGGTCTTACATTCACAACCGCACCACAAATTTCATCAGAGTGCTCAAAGTTTTCACCTATAAGTAGAAGTATCTGAAATAAAAAAAAATATTAAATGAGTTACTGTTCCAGTTTTATGATATTTTAACTGTCAATAGACATGTGTATATTAGAACCCTTTATTTAAAATCTGCAGAAATGGTGCACAAAAAAATATTTTTACTTACAATTTCCAACCAAAATCGGTCTAAATCTGAGTTACGCTGCTTCTTCTCAAGACTGATAAGCCATCGGCCACCCATTTTGTTGGCATCATCTTCCCACATAGGCCGAATGCCCTGTTTGAACACTGCATAATCATGACCCTGACGTAATTCAGAGGGTAGTTTGATATGGTGGTACAATCTAAAATTTGAAATTGTATTTATAACATTATTGCAGATTAAATTTATGGTATTGTAATGTAGCAACTATATAAATAAGATTTAAACAACACAATGTAAAATATTGAAATTATATTAAAACTATTGAATCTTACTGTTGCTATGATATTCCACCACAAAATAATTGAACCCTAATTTACCTCCAAAAATCTTCCACCGTATCAAATGTCGTCAGTTCAAGTAAGTTCTCCTCCCATGTCTTCGTTCTATCATTATCGTAAAACCACAGACTCCAAGTATTTTGAAGTGGATGCTTGATGAGGAATTCTGGTGGGAGCTCGGCAGGGGTGTTAGTCTTACTCTCAGTAGTAGTCCCCTTTAACACAGTAGACATTTTTATGAAACTTAACCTATACGAATGTAACTTAAAAAATCACGTATTTTAATATAAATTATACAAAAATATATTTGGCTTTGGGTCAACTAGGGTATTAAAGACAAGGATATGTTTTCAAAATTACTTTAAATTAAGCGAACAAGAAACAAATGCAACAGTGAAAGTTGGTATAGCCACATCACCATAGATTATCGTTAATTGACGTAGTATTTTAGCAATTTATTGTCAAAACATTAATTTGCGGCGGTTATAGAATTTTTAATTATTTGCTACCCACCTCAACTTCTTCGGTATTATTACCAGCCATATCACAAATTCTTTTTAGAGCCTTGGATTTTTGCAAAAGACAGCCATCGAAGCGGTGTTACAACATCTTCCTAAAAATTTAACAGATAAAAAAGTAACAGGTCTGATGGCATCTTAAATATTTTAATCATATTTCAAATATTTTTGTATTCTAAATTCTACAGAAATAATAGAAACTATTTTCTTCATTAGTTGTTAAACTGCAATATATGAAAATTTTCTTGGCGTCCGCATTCTAAAAGATAGCAACCCTTGAGGAAAATGTCAAATTTATTTGCGTTTGCGCTCTTTGTCAAACTAGAGCAGGGAGTAGAACCTCATCTTTTCAGCTTTAATTTTGCCGGTGTATCCGTCCGAATATTTCTTATTACCAGTAATTGGCTTAATATTGAAGGAAAATGTCGGTACAGACGTTATTGTTAGATTTTTCTGTTGATCCTGCACGAGTTGGGGATGAGAGCGGTCAAAAAACTGTGTTCGGCCAATTGGAGACCATTCTAAAAGAATATGTACCAAATCTTATATTAGCTGCTGATATAAAGATCGACGGTGGATCTTTAAAACTATTAACTGGGAAAAAAGGGACCACAGTGTCAGTAAGAATGTTTGATCGCGGTCTAGTAACTGTAAACATAGAATATTACAAGGAGGACACTGAAGAGCCACTAATCAGTTTCAAGGTAAATTTATTTCTGTACATTATTTCTATTGCTGCCAATTATTCAAGTGAAGGCGTTCATAAAAACTAATAACCACCATAATTTCATACATTACAGCCATCCCTGTTATATATAGAATGAAAACAAAAGTATATTAAGTTAAATTAAATATGTTATATGTAAAACATCATTTTGCATGAAATTCATATAGACCATATTTAACTAATCTTAGATATCAACTAGGTAATCAGGATATCAATTAAAAAATATTTCATTAATTAAAATATGGCTTGCTCAAAAGCTGTATAATCTAGAACATTTCAACAATACAAACTGGTTAGTACAGTAAAGAATTAGCATAAATAAATTACTGTATCATATTGTAATACTTACAGTATCTGTAATATAAATTTATGCAAAATATTTTTACTAGAAAAAGTAGTCAGAGTACCTAAAATGTAAAATACATTTAAATAAAAATAAAAAATATATTTGTATTAAATGAAATAAAATATTTTTGTAATTGTTTTAAGTTAAGGTTGAGCGCAAAATATTGTGTTTTAGTGCTGTAAACAACTGGAAAGTTCAGTGAAGGTATCCATGGATTGTGACAGAATCAAATTAATGCCAACTATCAAAAGGGGCTATAAATATGATGTTTACCTTACTAGTTCAGGTCAGCTGAAAAGGCCAGTTTGTTGACGATTTATTTTTGCCCCTTTGACACCGACCCTTTACTACAAATATTAGTAGTTTCTCTTAGTCTACAACACAGATTTTTATATAGTCCAAAGGCTTTTGTGTTAGTGTAGCTTCAATCACTATTGTTCATAATTTTTCTCTGATTATTTGTTTGTTAAAGATCATATGAAGTTATAAATATAATGTATATATAAAATACATATACCACACATCATTGGTATTAACACTTTGAGTATAATTGTTTTAACAATGTCATGGTCAATTCATTTCTATTTCAAAATCAAACAATATCTTAACTCACCTTTCATGATTAGGACACTAATCAATATTTGCTTTAAATCAAATAATATTGAATCAGTTTACATGTAGTTTCAATTCATATAACATTACCACATACATGAATGATTGCATGTTTTCATTTCATATTTTAATTGTATAGTGTGACTGTTGTCCTAACATGCTACTAACGAATCTTCCAGTGTTCACCTCAAAGCCGCTCAGCCTTATCTTACTACAAAAATCCTGATTATGAAACGCATGTTAGAGAAATCTGTATTCCTCTTGAATTTTTTTACATACCTTTTTTGCCTGACTGACAAGAAGATTACGATTGATTCCGATTATGACATAAAACTCATTTGTTTTTTAACATGTGATTTGGATCATATTCTGAGAAATAGACTTTCAGTCAGGTTTTCTTTGTTTTTTTTTTTTAATTAACTATTGCTTGTTTATCCATGTTTATTAATAGTCGGCGAGGGTATTGGAAGGTCAACTGAAAAAGTACATCACATTCATAAAATCGCAAGCTTACGCTCCGATAAAAAGGTGCTTGTTTAGCAGGTATTATCCGACGTCCGGTAAGTTGATTTGTTTTTTTTTCTGTTTTAATTGCATCTGGTTGAGAGTGTTTAATTTTGATGCCACTAAAGCATATCAAATATTTATTTCTTTAAGTATGTTGTATTCAAATAAAAAAGAAAATATAACATAAAAAGTTTCTTAAAAAAACATATAAAGTATTAAAGGTTGTTGGCTGTTCAATAAATAAATAAACAAATAAATTACTATAATTAAATACTTGCTTGTGATGATTTTTAAGAATATAAAGGTGATAAAGTATTATTGAATTGACTGTGATATTCACTAGCTTTCAATTAGCTAGCTAGCAATACCTTAAAGTTCTGTTCTATTATTCATGAATAATTTACCATTAAATTTTTAGTAATGTTTTTTTACATATTCAGTTTATAATTACAGACAATTTTTCAGTTAATTTAAAAAGATAAATATTTATTTTTTAATTTCCGCCGTAAAAATTAAGCCAAAACATTATAATTTATAAAACCACGCACGCCGATCCCACGTGAGTGGGATAAGGCCAGGGTGATGGTGAACTAAAGACTTGCGTATAAATAAATTCGCACCGGCACCCTAAGCGCATTGTCGTTTAATCCGCCGTAGTGTTTACACATCTCGTTCACGACCCTCACCCTGTTGGGGGAAAATAAGGAGATTCCTCAAAATTATTTTAAGTGAAGATGAGCGAGTATCAAACCGATATTATTGATGTCAGCGACATCGCGCTTTTGAAAAATCCCTCAAGAACAATACCTACTACATGTATGCATCGGGATTTAATATAATTTTATTAATGTTTAGTTTGAATTAGTCACTTTATTTTACGCCAGCGGCACGTAACTAGACGTTGACGTAAGGGGGTTAAATTTGTTGTCCAAATGTTCGATACTGTGCCACAAATCTTAACTCTTGTATATATTATGGATTAACATAATCCAGCACCATAAATACAATAGCAAATATTACCTGTGTAAATATTTGCAATAATTTACTAATACCATACCAACTAAGCTTAACCTTGAACTGTGATATCGTTCATATCAAACAAGGGCGGATTCGAATACACGACCGTCAATTACACACTTACACATTTTTGCTTTATTCATATTTAGTTGTATTATAATAATTAATTGTATTTCCAGATGAGAGACTCCTTGAGTATGACATTGATGGAGTGTTATTTGATGAACAGTCTCCATTCCAAAGAGTGCAGATTGTTCACTCCAAGTCACTTGGTAACATGTTGGTGTTGGACGACTTACAAAGTAAGTAAATAATATTATCAGATGCGCTAGAATTTATTGTAGACACACATTATCATAGATAAGTTATCTCAGTAGTAGGCTACAAAGGTAGAGGAAGACCGAAGAAAATAAGCATAGATTATGTGAAAATGGATAATAACGAACATAGATGTGTCAGCTGATAGAGATGTAAGGAAGAGTATAACTCTTTTCAAATATCTTGGCGGCCCATGCCCCTCCACCCGCGCTAAGTTTAGAGCCTCGAAGATATCTAATAACATTTACAGTAAATATTGTTCCCAACATCCATTTGGAAAAGGGCAGGGTATGAGTTTCTTACATGGTCCTAAGAGGATATTGGCCCTTAGCTGGCACATAAATTTAGGAACAAACAAATCAGGAAATAATTATCCGAAGACATTTATTTGAAATTTGATATACATATTATTTTCTTTGGTGATATTTGAAACTGTAATGTTAAATGTTATGCGCAGTTTAATTATTCATTAATCACATAAAATTATATATTTATATTGTATTTTTATTAGTCAAAAATGCAAATAGTATGTTTATAACTTTATAACATAAATCATTTTTAATGTAACATAGTAAAAGGTCAAGGTGTTTGTCCAGGAACAAAAAAATGACCTTTTGTATCTAGAATTTTGTTTGCGTATTATGATTTAAAATGTAATATTATTTAATCATAGAATTGGCATGTGCTAATTAATGCAAATTAAATATTGCCAAGGACATCAACTTTTTTAAATGTTAATTCTATGCGATTATTACAAGTCTACTACAAATAAACGTAAACGAGAAATACCACTGACATAAAAAATGTTGTTGTCTCTGTTTATACAAAGATAATGAAGAGGGACGATAAAATGTTTTCATATAATTCCTTTATTTGACAATGGAAACTCAGTCAGATTAAGGAATGCGAGTATTTCTTATTTGTTTACATTTGATACTGAAGTAATATCATGTTATTTTATTTCAGACATATCTGAAGCTGATCTGGTCTACACGGAAACTCTTATGCAGCGGGGTCGAGAGAATTATGAAGGCAAAGAAATTGTCATTTTAGGTAAATAAAATTATATACGTTGAGGACAATAGAAAATGGAATTTGCAGCTAAACACGAGCAATCGGACACCTGACTCACCAAACTCGCGAAGCGACTGCGAAACGTGCTCCGCACAGAAAGAGAATATTTTTTTTCCTATATCTCCCCTCTTCCACCCAATCCACATCCCCTTTCCATCCTTCTCTTGTAACAATACGGAGTGAAGGAGAAAAGGACTAAAATGAGGCTTCCAACACCATACTCTTCAGACGAAACGCAGAAGTGCTAACACTTTTAGTTGCCCCATTTGTACAACAGGTGTTGTTGCTGGCGTCTACCACTGATCCTTCCTAAATATGTGTTCCTTCACTTCAACATCATAAACTTACCATCTTATAATTAAGTTGCTGCGATATATGTGATATTTAATTCCTTGTTCAGGTGGCGGGGATGGCGCACTTCTATTCGAGCTGCTGAAAGAGAAGCCCAAGTTCGTGTGGATGCTGGAAATCGACGAGACAGTGATGCGCGCCTGCGACACGCATCTGCGCTCCATCTGCGGAGATGTGCTCGAGCGGAGGAAGGGGAACAACTACGAGGTAACTTACCCTCCGTCTGCTACTGCTACTCTCTCCGATCAAATACCTCTCTATGGTCGGTAACTACTTTATGTTATCGTTTTAATTATTTTCTTTTTATTTACTTGCTTATGTATCTAATATCATCATCATCAGCTCACCCTAAGTCAAGGGTGACTGGGCCATAGTCAACCACGCTTGCCAAGTGCGGGTTGACTTCACACATATCTTTGAATATGTGCAGGTTGCATCACGATGTTTTCCTTCACCGTAAGAACGTAGGATAAATTTATATATTGAAATCGGAAATCGAAAGGCACATTAGTACATGGCGGGATCTAATATACATTTATCTTACTTCTTACTATTATTATAAATTCAAATGGATGTTTGTTAGAAGGCATCTCCAGAACAGCATGGATCTGCTGAAATAGCTCCAGAATGGCATAGATGTAGTATATATAGTCTGAAAGAACACATAGTCTACTAATTATGTTGTTTTTAAATTTCGCATAAACGGAGTCGCGGGGGACAGCTAGTTTTGAAACTGGAACGAAATTTACTTGAACTGTTATTTAAAATTTTCACATCCGTGTAATCTGTATTAAAGTTAAAAGGTTACCTGTTATATAAGACTATCACGTCTTATGCATATTTTTACAGATAATTGTAGAAGACTGCATGGTGACAGTGAACAAGTTCATCAAGGAGAACAAGAAAGTGGACTACATATTCGGCGACCTGACCGACATCCCGATATCGGAGTCTGCGTGCGGTGAGCTGTGGGAGTTCATGATCACCATACTGCACTCCGCCTTCCAGATCCTCAAGCCCACCGGCAAGTTCATGACGCATGTACGTACATTTATCTTATTACTCAGAGACCGGTCAACAACTACCTCGTTTACCTTATTATCGGACGTATTAAGGTTTTCAAAAATCTTGGCGCCTCGGAAAATAGCACGAATCGCTGCACAGAACACAATTTCAGGTGTAGTGGGGCGTAAAGGGGTGCGATTCGAGGGGAGGGCAGACCTTGAGCTGATAAAACTATTGAAACAGCCTATACAATAATTATGACATTTCAGGAATTCAAATGATACCCCACACATAAATGTTGGTCAAGTTGGTTAGGTTAGGTTATAAAATAAGGAATAATAACTTGACTGTATTATAATGTGATTTATTCCTAATTCCTAACAGGGTAATGGAGCAACCTCACGTAAATCGTTGGAACTATACGAGCAGGAGCTAGAGAAACTGAAACCACCCGTAAGATTTACAAAGAGCAAGGCCTTCGTACCTTCCTTCCTAGAGGACTGGATCTTCTACCAAATATCATTCAAATCTACCGATAATGGGGATGCTTAACACACCAAACATGGTAACAAATGTTCCTCCATAGTATTTACACTAAGTCATATAAATGTCATAAGCATAGTTAATACTTTAGTATTATTAAGTCTAAGAATGTGTTTGAAACTTTTTGTGTACAGTATTTCTTCTGAAAGTTTATAACATTGGACCATATTCAGGACCGAGTATTGACTAATCACACGGAAGCCAATGTAAGATTTAATTACCTCTTTCTAACCTCTAGAATTAAAATTCAAGTAACAAACATTTGTTTATTTGTCTACTGGAATGACACATACCACTTAGTGGATTTTCTTGTGGACAGTAAAATTTTTTAAGCAGCTGTAAATTGTGAGATTAAAAGTAGTCCAGTGATTTTTGTATTAGTTTTAAATGAACTTTTTTTGTTGATGCTTTTATTTGTAATTTTCACTTGTTCATATTTTTGTTTTATCAATAAAAATATTTTACCATGCATCATGCATTGTTATTGCATATCCTATCGTTAACAGTATATAAAAAGCTGGATGTAAAAACATTCAACTCTCTCTTCACGCATTCTTTGAACATAAAGAGTAATTCTAGAGATTCAAGTGACATTAGGAATAAAATATACTTAACAAAAAAAAACATGTCGCTTTAACTTTAAACATATTTTATTAACATTTACTTAACAGAACATTCATAAGATTGCATTTAAATTGATTTTAATACAGATTAAATATATTCCTGCACAAAGTATTTTTCACAGGTTTCAAATGGCTATAAACATTATTTTTTTTGATGAACATAAATAATATAACATTTTTTACAAGAAATGTATCTATTCAAAAGCCGTCATTAACAATATTTTTCTTTTAATTTTCCAATTTTTAGAATTGTATTCATTATGATATATTAGTAAGATTGTGAACAGCAAATTATTTAGAATAATAAAATTATACATTAAATGCTAATTATCTTAGATATAAATAGTTCGAAAATTTATTGAAATATTTTATTATGTAACAACAGAAATCATAATGAACTGCAATGTTTTATTTAAGATTCATAAAGCCAGCCAAATGCTATAAGGAAAATAAAATGTAATAATCTTACCTCACTTTGAGTTCCCACTGCCTACACATCCGTATCTGAACATATTTTCATCTTTCAAATCCTCTTGTAAACAGAAAACAATGTTTTGATATAGATATCTCAAGAGTATAAAACTCAAAGTAACGAGTAGCAAAACATCTTTAGTTATAAGTAATCATAAAAAAATAATGGGTATTTCTTTCAAAACTTCATTACCATCACAATATAAAGCATGTATGTATAAAATCTTAACATAACTAAGTTTCTGTACATTTTGAACATTATTCAGTTTGTCGTAACCTGGCCAATCTCTGTGTCAACTCGTCCTGTTCCTGTGACACCACAGTGGTTGTGCCTATTGATGTGCTTGGCACACCTGATGGTAATTCCATGTTCAGTTCCAATCTGAGAAAAAAAGCATAGAAACAGTTCAATCATAAAACTAAGAAAAACTTAACAAATTCAACACAAAACTTATCATAGATGCAACAAATGAGACAATAGGAAAGTCAAAAATAAAATGTTAAGTGCTCAACAGTTTACGGAGAGAATACATCACTGTCACAAAATATATAAAAACAAAGTTTATATGTAAAGGTGTTAAAGTATTGTATATGTACCCAGCTTCATCAGCGACTTGTTGCAACAACTTGTCCACATCACCCTGTGGTACCGTAGTTGTTGTTGTTTGAGACATAGCGTTCTCCATGTACGAAGATTGTACATCAAGATCTTCAAATTGACTCTCAAACTTGTCCATTAGAGTTGATATCTTCTCTAGATTCATAGATTTCATTGCCGCATCCATTGCTTTAACTACACCGGCCATTGAATTTGTTACCTGTAAAAAAATTCAAAAGTTTTCATTATAGTATATTGTAGTATAAATTATGATAACACATCTTTTTTTTTGTATCTGTGAACAGTAAAGTCATATTGACTATGTATATTTTAATATTGTCAAGTCAAAAATAGGTTTTAATTTTAAATAATAATTATGTATATATCTATTTGAAACAGCATTATCTGTGTATAAATATTTAAAGCAATTTTTTATATACCTTTCTTGTTGTAAGAGCAGTTTGTACTCTACTGGAAACCGCATCCACCCTTGCAGACATCCGAAGGTAATTAAGAGCCTGATTTTTCTGTCGTATTGCATTCTCTGCATGTATTCGAGCTCCCTCTGTATTACCTTTTTGTATCGCCTTTTTTGCTTTCTCTTTTTCAAGTTTTTCCTCTTTCTCACATTTTTTTGAATTTCGTTCTAACTCTTTGACCGCAAATTTTAAATTGAATAGATGTTCTGGTTTTTAGAGAGTTAAGAATTATTTAAAATACCAAGGTTTATTACTCTAATACAAAAAACTACTATAAGATGTATATTATACAAGTCCACATGACTTAAAAACTTGCATCACATAATGACCAAGCAAAACAATGTTATTTGGTTATGTTAAAATCACCTACACTGACTTGTCACTTAAGAGCTAGAGTGACTAATTGGTGGACTTTAAGACTAAAACACATCATTATCTCTGTTGGATGTGTGGGATAACAACATTATTTTTGTACAGGGATTTTGGTCTCCAACAAAAGAAACCAGCAAAAAGAAGGTCAATGAGTAGCTCAATAGAATAATATTCAAGTAACATTTTCCTTAGTCAATAGAATAACTATGCTTTGGTTAGCAATGCAAACAACAATGCAAGAACAGAACTCAAAACTAAATAGAATAATAAAAACAAAATATTTCGCTTACATATAAGTATTATGAGTTATAACCATACAATTAGATCCAACAAACAAATCTAAATGTGATAAACTAAATCAATTAAACTGGTAAGCGCAATAAGTACATTACACATAGGACTACTTTGTAGTTAAATTTTTAAATAGATACATAAACAGATTTCTTTTAAATCTACTTCAAAAAGTACTTAAATTCCTGGATAATGAAGAAAACAACTATTTTAAAAAGGATACTTTCCATTGCAGACGATGACATTTCGTTCCCCAGCTTGACGGTTTACGGAAACTAGTATAAAAAAATTAAAGGCGAAGCCTTTTAAGTATCACTGAATGGCTTCGTTAAGACACAAAAGTTTCAGTGCTGGAAAATAGAAACTTTGTTGAGATGAGTCACAACTTAATCACAAATAAATCCGATTCCGTGACAATGAGAAATGTCAAATAGTAAAATTGACAGTGAAAACTTGGTGAAAACCAAAGAGTATGGCCCTCCCTTGCTCTCTTTACACGTTCCTTAATAAATGGATAGGCTATACGCAGTTGGACTTTGTGCCTATTTGATTTTCGTCATTTTGACGCACACGGTTTCGGTTGGTAGCAATGGTGAGTATTCGGACTTATAATAAAAATATAATACAATTTTTGTCGCAAACGTCAACAAGCGTATTTAGATCAGAATGAAGCAAAATCTGTTATTTACAAGCAATTACTTGTCCTTCTTTGGAGATCAGTGCTTCTGTACAAACACAGGTCAAAACGAAAGTTGGAAAATGGGGAAAATATCATAACTGAACATTATATGGGCCAAGAACCTTCATATGCCTTAACTTATATGAATTAATTTAAATTCCACCACGATCAAGTACCGTGTGTTTCTTCCGACTTTGTCTATTTTTAAAGTTCTTTTAAAATTGTGTTGTGTTGGTAACTCACATTGTTGGCAATGTTGGTAAAATGTTTTGTAATAACAAAGCTGTCAAAATTGTAAAGTCACAAAAGTCGGATTGCGGATTTGGAAGTAAGAGAAGTTGCTGCACAGAAATCTAAGATATTTTTAGAAATCATTTAAGATAATTTAAAGTTGAACTTAGTATACGAATTTTAGTGTTAATTTTCTTTAAGTTTTGATAATATTTTTAATTTTAACTTGGTTAGTGACTAAAACATCTAAACCGAATTAGGTATAAAGTATAGACATTCGTTAGGCGTAAAAAGAAAATGGCGTGCGCTACTCTCAAAAGAAATTTGGATTGGGACTCAATGTCGCAAACGCCTGCGAAAAGAAGATGTGTCCCATTTGCTACATCTAGCACCAGTCCTGGAATAAAATTGACGGAAAACAAACACTCTGCGTTCGGCGAAACTGTTACGGCTCCTGCAAAATTAACCCCAGGTTTGTTTATTTTTGTCGTAAGCTCTTTCAGTTTCCTTAGTCAGTAGTCATTCTTTGATAATTAAAGCAACAATTTTTGATCAAACTGAGTATTACATACACTTTTATGGAAGTTATATGTGATTATCGCCATTGTTTCTTGTATCAGAAATATTTTTATCGTGTGTGAGAGAGACAACAGATGCGCAATGACCGTTGGGCGTAATGGCTTTGTTATTTTTTCTATTTCGAATAAAAAACAACAAAGGCCGAGCTTTTGCTCAGTTACAGCTTGCGTACCTTTCGTTATCCCTAAAGCTGTGTTTTTTTTTTCATCATAATAAAAGATATACAGGTTAGAGGGTAGTGCAGGCATTTGATAAGAATGCTTGCATGAATTAATTTCAAAATTAAAATTTTTAGTTTCTGTTACTAAATTATTTTCTATTTAATGCAAGATTCAAGGTGACAAAGTATGTAATTGAATTCTCATTTTTGGGTTAGCCAAACCCTATTATAATTAATTATTTTTATGCATGGTGATTGTTCATGTTTATGGAAAAGTAATTTGACACAACAACCATGGATGGCAAAACTTTATGCAAGGATTCTTGTAAAAGATTCTTTATTAGGGTAATAGACATATCATCATATAATTTTGTTTGTAATTTTTAAGAGCAATCTGTAGCTTGGGATCACATGCATTTGCTTCCTATATAATTTCTACTTCACAGTTTTTTACTGTGCATAATGAATTTTGTAATCAATAACAAGCCAAATTTGTGTCATCTGAATTTAAGGCTCACTGGTTTCCCATTCCTCATTTATGCAGTAACCTCATGAAAAGCACTATATCAGATTTATGTAACCAATTTTAACTTTTAAGCAGTTAATAATTCTGGTTAATTTCTTCATAAATAGTACTATTTCAGCCATGCAGTCAGTTTTTATAATACCACATGGTAAAAAGTTGCACATGTTGAGGCAACTGTGATTCCACAACTGTTGTATTGACAGTACTTTAAACTTCAAATTACCCATATAGTGTAGCTAAAATATCTTAATTCCTATTTCAAGATTGATTAAGTTTATTTACTATATCATATCTTGATATCATTATATAATATGCAAACATAATTATCAAATTTGTGCCGATTATTACTTAATGCCGACTTACCAGCTTCATGCATGCTTAATGTTAGACTTATCCAACTGTCACTCTGACTGATTTAATAATTACTTAAGCTGTCCATTATGGTACATACCTCATCTTATATCTTAATGGCTCAATACCGTAATCAGAGTTACTAACCTCTTACCACAAGTGTCTTTTTCAAGAGATAAAATATTCAATTACGGGCAGGGTAAATTTTATAATTTTGTTTTGCAGTAACATTGTTACCTATCAGCATAAGATTTTTTAATCAATGGAGGTTAATTGAGGCTATTTTTTTAATTCTTACAATCTGAGGCAATGAAACAATTTGCATAATGATTTTGAATAATTGTCTGTTCTAGGTTAAAATAATTACAATGATTGTAAAGTAGTAGACATAATTAAAGCTTTGTAAATTCTGTATTTAATCTTTAAAATGATGAAACTTTGGCTCAATAGTCTGATAATATTTCAGAAGGTGCCTGTTTCCATAGCCACTTGATCTTGTGACTACAATTATTTTTGTACTGTGTCATTATATTTGCAAATAATATACATGGAGGCCATTATGACATCGGTCTTAAGTTATTTTGTTTAAATTCTAAGATAAAGTAAAGTGATAAAATAAGCATCCCTAATATTATAGTTTTTTAGGAAAAATTTGGTATAAAGATAAAATGTTAAGTAAGGCATATGTAAAACTGCGTTTTCAGAGCGCATGGTGCAGGAGATATGTGAGGAGATCCTGCGGCTGCGGCGGCGGCGCCAGCTGCGTCTGGCCGAGGGCGCTGCGGGATCCTCATCCAGTGGCAGCGAGGGCGACGCCTCACCGCCGCGACATGCCGCTCACGCATCGCACACGCGCGCGCACTCCACACATAAGGTGCACAAGCGTGTGCTCTTCACATTTGATCAGGTATGTCCATAATTACTAGCCTAAATTTAAGAAAACAGAGAAATGTAATAATTCCTTTATTAGTTGGATATTTGAATTTAATTTTCTAACTTGGTAGAGTGCTGTCCGCTCATTTTCTTTATTCATACTAGTGCCTTCTTTATTTTATGTAGTTTGTCATGGAATTTTATGGGGGTTTTGATCACATAGAATTCCCAAAAATACATATGTTTATATCACAAATCTTTAAATGCCTTCAAAATGCTGCCATATTTAGATTTTTTATATATTTGAAAATCAAATAGGTCAAGACCAGCGCAGTGCTCTACTCCACACTTAAAATTGTGTATGCTCAGTGAATCATGCAAATATCCAAACCTCTATGATATTTGATTTCTCATATAACACAAGTGTATGTGACTTGCAGGTGCGCATGATCTGCGAGCGGGTGCTGCGCGAACAGGAGGCGGCGTTGAGGGCAGAGTATGACACGGCACTAAACAACAAGCTCTCCGAGCAGTATGAGTCCTTTGTGCGCTTCAACTTGGACCAGGTAGATAACGACATTTTCATGTCAATTCTGCAACAATCATTATTTATGACTTCTATTGTTAGTGTAACAGTTACCAATGTAAGGACATGATCTAAATCCTTAACTAGACCTTAGTAAATAATTAACAAGTGATATTTATGAAGGCAAACTGTTTACTAACCATAAATAAACATGATTATTGTAATTCAAATAATAATTTTGCACAAATGTAATTGCAGGTGCAGCGTCGCCCCCCGCCCGCCACGTGCATGCCCCTGGGCGCGGATTCTGAGCACCACATGCATCAGGACCTAGTTCCTAGCTGTAAGTACACAAGCTAGAATATTACATTAACATAGATAACAAATGAGTTATTTATTTTACTCACAACATATTATATTAAAATTAAACTTCCTTGTTTGTTCTCAGATCTGTCCTAATAACGAAGGAGCCAGTTGTTGGAAGTGACACTGCAAATATATCAAGACAAACATATTTTGGTATATTACGTAACATTATATGCTGGAATATAATGTGACCTAATGATTGAAGACATTGTGATTGCTGCTGGAATCTAGCCAACATCAATATTGAGCCATTGTGGCTACCGGATAACTTGTAATGCAGTATTAAGTTTAATTTTGCTACAATAATATAATCACTTCCCTATCGTCGAGTACACAATATTGGTATGGCTAGGTTCCACAATATTCATGCCACATAAACATAATTTAGCTTATAATGCTTTAGATAAGATTCGCTGGATAATTGTGTTCATGGACTGAGTGAGGATGGGAGCCGAGGCTGTCAGACTTAGCCGCGCCCCGCCGCCTCCGCCGACTAAATGTTTTGTGTAAGACGACGTCAAACCCGAGTGTTTATGTTTTTGTATATTTTCTAAAGAATACGATAATATGTAGAGAATTAGAGATAAAACAAAAGGATAAAATTCACACAGAGTGCCTGCTAAGATTACATCCTCATGAGTTGAAAGTTAGTTAGCCATAATTTCGATTCGTTTAATTTTTTTTAGTTACTTTTTAGTGTAATCGAAATATAGATGTAGTTTTTAAATTATAGTTTTATATTCTTTACTGAATACTGTACGCAAATACACGACCCGGCTTATTCATTGTACGACGACGAGACAACTGGCCTTGTGGAGCGTCGCCTCCACGAGAGTCCGTCATTTGTGTCCTGAGCCGCAGTGATGTCAGGGGTAGTATAGTACTTTTATGACAATTGGCCTCTTGTATCAGAAATTTAAACTACAAGTATTTATATTACGGCTTTTCTAAATTATCTTAACTTTCTAAATTAACTCAACTGATACATTAAGGCTTTAGTAAATGTTTATGAATTAGCTTTATTTAATTTTCTAAGTTATTGTCGGTAATATTGTTTCGTGGTTCCGCCCACGCAAGTGCTACTGCATAATTAGCTTTTTGTTTTTCAAAATTTAGTTATTTCTTTTTTTATAATGACCTGGTATAATTTGTTACCAAGCGTTTAAAATAGGATAGATCTTTTCTTTTAAATTGTATTATCAGCTCATATTATTATATAGGTTATTGGCGTTTAAGAACTGAAAATAAATTAGCTAAACAACCATAACTATTGACTTTTTTTTAACATTACCCATCATCAAAATATACTTATTTCTAATGTTTTCAGGGAATTAATTTGATTTGTCTATAAAGAATCTCTGGCTGTAATGAAATTTAAATTCGACTTTGACATTAATTCTTCCTGAAGTCACATACAAAGTTGCAATCAGACATGGATATTATGTGATGAAAAAGCAAATAAAAACGCATTTGCACATATTGTGTATTGGTACTAAACGCAACAAACTATCGAGTTTACTTTCTTGTCATGAATACAAAGGTAGCGTGCCAGGAACGCGCCAAATGGGCATCTTTATTTGCTCAGCCCATTGGGTTACAGGCGTGAATTGTGTTAGAGCTATCATAGTTATTAAGTCAATATGAAATAACGAAATTACAAACTACAGTACTCTCTGCGCCGTGTGTGAACATACCCTTACTGTGGGTTTAGTTGCTATGACACATCGTCGCTGTTTTTGTCAAAGAGAATGTAAGGAATACTTCTGGTGTTAGAAGTATGTACACTTTTCCTTTTATATTACACTGGATTGGTTTTAAGGCGTAATATTTTTCTGCCTATTCGATACCTTCTTAGAAAGGATAATGACAAAAGAAAAAATGTCCTTACAGCTACAGTACAAAGAGGTTCTTTAAAAAAATTTCTCGATATAAGACAATTGCTTTAGGCAGTACTTTGCTATTTTATCAAGACTTGAAATCGTATAAAAGAGGCTTTTTAACTTGCAACATTCGTAGTTACATAGTCTTTGACTCTCTAATTTATATACTATTTGATCTTTGAGCTTGCTTTAATCTGTAATCTGTGGACGTTCCTAATACCACAGATCGAAAATTGTATATGTTGTGATAATTAGCACTCAAGTAATAAGGAGGAATTCTTCATTTCTCAATATAAAACTTAAACGAAAATGAGCTTCGAAAATTCTACAAATAATGGAAATAATCAAGAAGAACATAAACACGGTAAACCAGAGGGTTATCAAATATCGAGGACAGATATGAACATGTTGATAATGAATTATTTAGTAACAGGTGACGTTCTTTTGTGCTTTATTTTCATTTTAATTTTTTTTATGTTGTCCTAAATGTAATATGAGGTAGTTAGCATGTTATAGTGTCTTATCATTGCAAAAGTCAAACTAAGTAAATCAATTAACTACAAATAAAAATTCTTCTCATTAAAACATTTTTAGATTTCCAAGTATGCTTTTAACCAATGTTAATTATAAACTTGATTTTTTATCTTCCTTAAGTTTATCCTTATGGACAATACATTCATATTTAGCAAGATTAGAACACTTCGTTAGTGTTGAAATTTGATATTTTGGAAATATTGATGCAGTGAACAACCATAAGCTACAGAGCTAAAGAATTGTGTTCCTTACAGAAGGTTTTAAGGAAGCAGCTTTAAAGTTTCAACAAGAGGCAGGGCTGCAGGAGCCTGCGCTCTGCAGTTCTTTAGATGAGCGTATAATGATCAGAGAAGCAGTACAGAATGGTCGCATCCCTGAAGCTATTGCAATGGTCAATGCCTTGCATCCAGAATTATTGGACAATGACAGATTTCTCTACTTCCATTTACAGGTATAATACTACACTACTTTATACTATAACTACTGTATGAAACTGATTGTTAAACAAATATAGACATTGATTATCTTACTAATATTATAAATGAGAATGTTTGGATGGTATTTTGGTAGAAAGTGACATTACTTGCTGTTAACATGTAAGAGAGGAAAACGGAACAGGACTTTATACTGTTTCTCTTAAAAGTTGTGATGTTTTTATTTATAAATGTTTACAGCAACTCCAACTGCTAGAACTGATACGTGCAGGGCGTGCAGAGGAGGCATTAGCGTTCGCAAGCGCGACGCTTGCTGAGGCCGGCGCTAATGACCGTGCTGCGCTCGCCGAGCTAGAACGCTCCCTAGCACTGCTAGCCTTCCCTGATCCACACTCTTCACCCTTTGCTGACCTACTCTTGCCCGCACATGGACAAAAGGTAACAAATTATTACCTATCTTAAATGGAAAAAGGAGAATTAATTGTAAATTATCATTACAAAACATCAATATAATTCTAGAGGTCTTACATTCAGAAAAGAGGACTATTCATTGTAATTTCTTTTTAAATTAACAGATAGCTAGTGAACTCAATGCAGCAATATTAAAAATGGAAAACCAAGAGTACACAAATCCGAAGCTATGCAGTCTCTTACGCATGATCCTGTGGTCACAGAGTGAGCTTGACAAACACAATGTCAAGTACCCCAAGATGACCGACTTAGCCAATGCAACTATAGAACAACCAAAGTGAATGCATATGTTAGCTAATAAATTACATTGATAGGAGTGTTTTAATTCACTTGACTTCTATAGACATTCTAGTAATGAAAATAAAAATAGTATGCTCAATTTTAGTTGATCCAAAATATATGTTCGCCGAAGAATTAAATGTATGGTTGTATTTTCAAAACTGTTGTAATAACTAGTGTAAAACTGTGGTCAACTAAACAAGCAACTATTATGTGGAGATTTTACAGAATGTTCATCAAATATATCATTAGTATTGGATATTGTTTTGTTTATAGATGTTTCTTTTTTATATTAGCGATAGTTTAGAGGAAAATGTTTATTAAGAAATCTTAAATTTAGTCGTATAATTTTTTTGATCATTTACAGTTAAAATTGGATAGTTAATATAATTTTTTTTTAATTGCAAATAATAATTTATACATACTTTATAAAATTCAAACATGTTGTAAAATTACTACTTGTTTACTTTTTGCATTGTCATCATGTCAGGGGTCACCAACTGTTTTGTGTTGTTTTAACCTTAACTATGTTTTTATAAAGATCTTGAATAAAAACAAATGTATCATTTCTTTTTATTCTTTTCATATTTATAATCAATTTTAGTAATCTTTTAGTATAAAATGTTTGGAGACTTCTGAAGTATATTTTTAGAGAATTTAGATCTGGGACGCCCTCGGAAAGGATTAATTATTGGTCTTAGTATCTTCACTAGTATTATAGATCTAATATATATTTGTTTCATAAGATGTGGGCCATATTTTTTTACAATCATACTATACTATTTTCTCGAAAAATGATAAAACTTGATGAAATTGGTTAGTTCTTCTGACAATGTTTTAATAAGTTTAAAAAATAATTCACATATACTAAAATGGTTCACATATTTGGTGTCACTTTTGGGTTTACATACAATGACTTAATATATGATTAAGGTATAAAGTGTGTTTTCTTTATTTATTCAGTAGTTTATTATTCAGTGTACAGTAAAAAAGATAAAACCGCAGAAAACCCCTGAAGACATGGTGTATAAAATGAAAGACAGACAAAATCTTAATTCATAATTTATCTTCATATTATAGTTGTTTTTAGATAATATTAAAGTTACTTTATCAACATTATTTATATAAAACAAGGAACAATGCTAAATCTGGTAAAATATGTCATTGAAATTATTTAAGCTATCATGGACTTATGTGCATGTACCAATTTTCTAATCAGCTCATGTTACCTATTTACTTCACTGTCAGTTTTATAAATTTGTTCATAAATATATAAGTCAGATTCATAGTAATTTCTTATGCAAGATTAACTTTAATGAACTTGCAAGTGTCTGAATGTATCTAGGTATTGTGTGTCACCATCCTAGTACATAGTCAAGAGCTTTGGCAATGATACCATTGGATCTCTGAGGAACTGGGGCTGATGCGATAGGTGTGGGGCACAAAGACCTCACTGTTGGATGCCTGTAAGAGATAAGTATTAAATATTAGTTGGTAATATGCATAAATGCTTATGTTGCTCAAATACAAAATGTTAATTATTGCTTTAATATTTTTAGGTATGCAATGGATACAATACCATGATGTAATGAAAAGTGATCACTTGATGGAAAATCTCAAAGCAAAAGTATCAAAATAATGTATATCATTGTGTCCTAAAAGCAGTCTCTCAGACCTAAAATTGTTAGTCTTTCAATTATTTTAGTACATAGAGTTTATAATACATTTTACAAGTTTCCTATCAAAATTACAAATATTTGCATGAACAATGTAACTTTTTTTCAATCATATAATCTATTCAAATTACAGTATTTACCTTTCAGGCGAAGTTATCCCTGGATGTGTTGTGGCCATCCTGGGAGGTTCCCTGCATTCTATTACTCCAACCATAACACCAGGTATGACCTGTCTACCATTTAATGCTAGCGCCCGTTCTTTCTCTGCACGGGTTGCATACCGAACATTAGCCCAGTTGCCTTGTGTTGGGTACTGCTTATCTGGTTAAGAATGCACAATATTAACAAACAAAATGCAAATCCTGTAAAGCATTAAAATAAGGAATATAAAAGCTGAAATCCTAATAACTTGATTGGCATTGGTACCAAACATTTGCTTTTTTTCTACTTTTTTTAAAATTCTGCAATGACAAAATGGCAGGGCAACCAATAGCATAATTATAAGAACTTGTAATTCTTACCTAATATGGCACCACAATTGCTAAATCTAGCTAACACAGTGTTGGCGGCATTTGGTGGAAAGCCAAAAACGGTAATCCAATACTCATCTTGTTCTTGACAGCCATCTTGCCAGTTTGTTGTGATTGATTGATTGTTCATTGATGTGTTAACATATGAGTTCTGCATCATTGAACCATTGTTCCCAAAGGCAAGGAAGCTATCTTGGTACATTGACTTGTTAGTAGGTTCATTGCTTTTTATAGTATCAAAAAGATCTTCTATGGGTGGGCCATTGGGTTTGCTAGAGTATGACATGTTAGGTGAGTTGGGAATGTTTGCAAACACATTCTGCTGATTGTACAGAGCTTGCTGGTGCATTGAGACATTTGATCTATACAATTTTTGATCCGGTGTTGATGTCTGGCTCGGGCTTGTGGGTGAACCTAAAACATAAGCAATTTAGTACTTAAAACAATCCGAAAGACTTTTGAAGAAACACAATATTTACATTCGTGATTCGATCTGTTTATTAAGGTTTAAAAATATGTATTGAATCACAATGCTTTGACGATACTTCAATCCGGAGGTAAATTGCTATTAAGTAAGATACTCACCAAATGCCATGTTCCGACCCTTTGTTGGTGAGAGACTGTTAGTTCTTGGTGTCGTCGGCGGGTTTATTTCCCCCAAAAGAAAAGGTGGTAGGTATCCTACATTGGGACTTCCCGAAGGAGAGTGGGTAGGACTTCCAAGAGTCATTGGTTCCATTTTATAGAATAATTATTAATTTTCGTAGGGAAATCTATTAGTTAAGTTATGTATTTATAACTTTAGGAACTCATGAATACACAAAAACAATAAATTATAAGTTGTAACCGTTCCGGCCACCTTAAAATTTGATTGACAATACCTGTCAGTGAAGGTGAAGTGACAATGACAAGTGACATTTTTTTTTGTTGCTCAAAGAGTACATAGTTTGACTGTCAAATCTGGCCTGGCGACAGGGGCGCTGCCATCGCGGTTAGTTCTTAATTCTGTTACAAAATCGTAAAACTTTCATGGGAATAGAAAAGGGCAGAAAGAAAAACATGACATGACAGCTACAAGACTTATAAGTACAATATTCTCTTTGTACTGCGTCTGTAATGTCATTTTTTTTTATTTTACGTCATTTATCATGTTTATGCAGGTCTTAAATAAATTCCGACTTCTTATATATATTCTGACAGAATCAACTGCGACAGAAATTTTAGTTTTAGACATGTTCTAGACGATTTATCTTCACATTTCCAAAAACAGGCAGGAACGCACCAAAGAGTATATAAAACTAAGGCACTATGAAATACCTAAATACAAATGAAGTATGAAGTCGATATGAAGTCTAGTATTATTTGTTCATCTTAAAATCATAGTCAACTGTTGGCAACATTAATTGTTTTGTCAAAACTCCAGTCAAACAAACGAACATGGATTCTTTGGCTGAAGAGTCTGAAAATACTTTTCAATTTAACGAAAATGAATGCAATAAAACAAACTGCAATACATTTAAAAATGGCTCAGAACATAGTAACAATATTGTGCATAAATTATTTAACAGAGAGGTAAGTTACGTTTCCAATAGTCCATGTTTTATTAGAGACATTCGAATACATTACTCCTTTTTTTATTTTTTCATTTATTTATACGCCGGTTCTTAAAACATAGTCCTGAAGGTTTAAGTTTTACTTAAACTGTATTTTCTTATATGTTGTACCTTTATGAAGTAGAGATACATACAGAATAGATAAAAATTGGAATCGAAATGACTGCAGATGATATTTTGCTAATATTAAAGTAAATTATTGTATTTTTGTATGTTGTATTTATCTTTGCTTTCAAGATATATGGGAGCACTTCAAGAAAATCCAATGATAGAAGTCGTAAAATGTTTGATAAAATTCCACCACGGTTAAGGTTTTGTCTTATGGATATAGTACCTATATCATACCTCAGGAAACACGTTTTTATGGGCTTTTCACAATGCGGACAGTTCCTACTCAGTTTTACATATAGTTGCAATAATCAAGTTTACTTCAGGGAAAGTTCCAAATTCAAGTAAGTACTTTTGTGAAGCTCTGAGATAGTTGTCACATTAACCATGGGTTTCTCAGACTGAAATGTCTGTTTAAAACATATTGTCATCTCTGTTTTGCTAAAGATGTAAGATGAGGATATGTTTTATTCGGAGATTTTGATGACAAAAACTCATGGTAAGTCAACCCATTACACCAAAAGAATTACATCAAAACTGGTGTATTCAATATTCTATATTACCATACACAAGTAACAAATGTTTGGTATTTGATATTGTAAATATTTAAAAAGTGGTAGCCAAACCCACATAGTTATTTATAAAAAAAACTTCACAACACAATGGTGTAGATCATCTATCTAATTTATATTAAGTTTAAGTTATTTAAGTTTTTGAATTCAACTGTTTTTTCTACTCAGGTAATTGATAGTCTCTGTATAATGATATGATATTTCTCTTCAGGCTTCATTTTTTATCATGGGTCCCAGGCAAGGTGGTCAGACCTGTTCATAGTGTGCCATTGTTTGGTGATGACTGTGTTGACAGCAAGGTGACAATCTCCATGGCTCAGTGGAAACATAACCCAGGAGTTCTTGTTGTGTATGGCATAGCGTAAGTATTTTTAAATTTACTTATAATGAGGTTTCTTAAAGCTTTAGGTTAAAAACATCTTTTTAGTTGTATGCTGTAATTTTGCAACATAGACTGGTGCTTAAAGAGAATGGTAATTCATTCCTTTGTATGCATCAACAATTGTTTGCATTATTTTCAGATTTTCATGCTCAGAAAGGTCCTACCTCAGTGTTATTGGTGTACCTCGTTTAGGATGTAAGAAATGTGCGGCGTATTCAAAAGAAGAAGGTGACTATATCATTAGAATTACATACTAGTTGTTAAATTTAGTTTTTACTCACTTAAACTTGTAATTATGTTTTCAGATGATGCACATTGGGGTAAAAGATGTTTAGAACACAATTTTGCTATCCACACAAAGTTTTTCTGCACATCTGATTCTAGTATGTACGAACCAGTAGTGCAGTTGGCATATTCAAATCAAATTATAATCTACACAGACTTTATCCATATACTGGAAATTGATTTTGTTGACCCAGACCAAGATCGCAATGAGACAAATGATTACAATAAATTTGCATTAGACAGGGATGACATAAACTCTATGGACACAAATCCAAGTACACCTGCCTCAGATGTGTCAGCACCTTTTCAGTCACCGAAATATCAGAATAATGTAGTGCAAAACATTTTAGCTGATTTCTCAGACCTAGAAGCAGAACCCTATCAAATGTCGCGACCTGTGCATTTATCAGATATGATGGGACAAGAACTGTGCATACAGGCTTCCTCTATATCACATAACTTGGTTGAAGAGTGGGAGGGACCGTCTCCGTCCATCAGAACATTGATTAGTCCACCTCTAAGGTCGCCTAGAAGACGACCGGCCGAAAGCATGTCACGTTTTAATGAAACACATAGGACTATCGCTGAAAAAGCTTACGAATTTGTCGAGGAGACGGATACGAAGTGCGAGAAACTTAGTATATTTCGTAAGAGAAGACTAGCTGATAAAAAGTACGAATTTTCGGAAGACAACAACGAAAACATTGTTCCTTTCAGAGTGTTAAGGAGTAATAGGAAATATTTTATAGGATCGGCTAGCAAAAGTCAAACGAAGCGAGCGAAGTCACCTCCGACGGAGAGTGTAGTATTGAGAGCTCACAATCAGATAAGCAGGCCGACGTCTCCTACCACGAGCTGTGACTTGAAAAATCCTGGACTGTCTGCTCTAGAGTCGGACAGGAACAGCGAGTCGGAGTACAGAGTTATGGAAATGTTGGACGACGGCTCGCTCAAGACGGTCGCGGTTCACGACAACACGTCCAAGACTCTGTCGGATATTCCCGTCAGTCCACAAGACCCCTACCTCGTGCACTCGGAGAATTCTAAATGCAGTAAATTCTTCACCAGATACTTTGTCGAAAGCGATGACGAGATCACTTCTATTATCACCGACTCTGAAGGTGAGTAACGTTTTGAAACATGAGCAACTCTTGATAAGAGTCTTATAGAGGTTTCTCTCAACCCAATTTTTTGGCTTACGCAGGACGCGACTGGTGAATGTTTCTGAAGTGTACATTCTGGGTAATTTGACTAAGTGCATGTATGATGTTCACAGACGACTGCATGTCGGGATACCACGTGGCGCTGCACCTGACGGCGCACGGGGCGCGCTACGTGCCGCTGCAGGCGGTGAGCGCGGGCGCGTGGGAGCGCCTGCCTGCGCGCCGCACGGTGCGAGCCACGCAGCGCTCGCTCGACACCGAGCTGCTGTGCAACGAGGTGTGCGGCCGGCTGTGCCACCTGCAGGGCATCAAGTTCATCTACTGCTTCGACTGGGGCTGCCACGTCATCGACGTCTGCCACTCCAGCGGCTGCCTCTCAGGGGTACGCAGCCACAACTCAAAACATCCACAACAAGGTAGACACTTTATTGGGCTATGTTTAACTCGTTGTGTGTGCAGCTGTGCGCGATGTGGCTGTGGGCGAGCGAGGAGGCGGGCGCTGGGGGCGCGGCGAGCGAGTGCGACGCCTGCAGGACGGTCAGCGCCGGCTGTCTCTCCCATCGCAGACAGTATGCCGCTGAGGTGACCACTACTTAACATACCTGTACAAGGCTTTGATTTGGTGCGCTGGAAAAGTTAAACTTATATATTGGCGTATGTTTTGACAGTGTCTATTCGTGTGGGATCTCGTGACCGGCGTGTACAGAACTGAAAGAGTTTCCATGACTGAAGATGACAGCCAAGAAGGTTCTAGAGGTATGTATTTAGCAATTTACCTTATGATCAGGTGCACTGTGAATTAAATTCTTTGTACAACTTTCATCACTTGATATTATTGAATAATTTCGTTTGATCCAAAAGTATTTGTAACATTCAAATGCGACAACATTTGCAAATTCCTTGGCAATGTTTATGTAAACATGTATGATGGTCAGTGTCAGGTGCGGAGCGAGCGCGCGAGCTGGCCAAGCGGCTCGGGCCCATCAACATGCCGCCCGGTAACGAGAACAGGCTGCTCACTACACTTACTGGTATGTCTCTGTTATATTATTTTATTAACACACATAAATATTGGTACATTATTTATTTTTAAGTAAGATTTACTCATTTCAAAGTGAACCTGTTAAGTGCATTAAACTTTAAAATTACAGGAAAATCATTAAAAAGGCTGACAGATGTGGACAACTGCATCGAGATAACAAAGAACCATCCCGACAGTTCTGAGTCCGAGTCCTCCTCGGAGGAGGACAGCGAGTACGACTGATGACGTCACACGGGGTACAGTGAGGATTGAACCAGTGTACTGATCAGTGTTGCTATCAAACAAGCCCACCTAAAAACTTCGAATATTATAAGGCAAGTAGGTACGGGAGTGTTGGAACGGCTGGCTATGTGTTTGCTAACTTGTGAACAGGGTGTTGATTGGTCTTGATATACGTATGAGGATGTAGGCTCAAATATTTAGTGTAAGATGATATTTAACTAGTCTTTGTCTATGTACTCTGAAATGTATGAAAAATGTAAAACTTTTTGTCCCATGTTTTTAATTCTCGTTTTTTAAAACTTGCAATACTCAACTTGTGGAAGATGTATGTTTGATAGCCAAATATGACATAACCCTTGCCTCAAGATAAATACAATATTAATTAAAGACACTTATATAGAAATTTCCAAGATAATCTCAAAATATCAACTCTATGATAAAAATACTATATAACCTGAAATTAAAATTGTGAAGTAGTAAGTGAAGTTATCAAAATGGTATTTGTGATATAAATTAGCACTATACTAAAAAAATGTAAAAAAAAATTCTGATGTGTGTACTAAGAAATATGTGTAAGATATATATCCTTAACCTAATTTAAGAAACCTTCAATAATGAATTTTAATGCTCATGACATGCAAACAAAGCCCTGCCCTTTAATTCTTGCCCTATATTTACGTTTCAAAATTCATGACATTTTTTTTCATTGTTTTGTTTATAGTTACCTAGGAACAATGACGACGAAAGATTTTTTGAAATGATAAAAATTTTTATTTTTAGAATAAATTTCAAATTATTAAAAATAATATAATTTGGTGCATATTGTTTCCACTATACGTAAAGTGTACTGCAATAAAAAGATTGCAAGTTACATTATATTGGTCATTTATGAGATTTTAAATATCAAACTCATTTGTCATGTAAATATTGAATTTTATTATACTTGATATGCTGGAGGTCATGGACAAAGCTTATTTTGAGCACTCTTGAAATAAAACAATGGCAATATACATGTAAAGTCATAGAATATTTTATTAATTTTTCTTGTGTTTGTATATTTTTTGCACCCTCAAATGACAATGGAGATTTTTATGTTTGTATATTTTGTTTGTGAGCTCCAAACTCAGAGAAAGTTTTTTTTGCTTTGATAAGTTTGTACATTGATGGTTGTAATAATTGTACCTATGGTTGTGAATTGTATTTTTGAGAATGGCTTAAATGTCTCGTAACCAGGGCATAAAATCTTCAAAATAAGTATTAGACGGCAAAACATCTTTGTTTAAATTGAAGAGTTAAATATCTGATTTGTCAATGTATTGCAAATATTGTAATGTGGTTTTACTTACCACATTAAAAAACTTTTATGGACTGTAGTATTCAAATTGTTTTTGTTTATCTTTTGTATAAATTGAATGAAATCTCATAGATATTTTATGTATGTGTGTACACAGAATATACTTTTAAAATTTTTTCTGTAGTGTTGAGACCCATTCAGCCAGATATATCACTGATAATTAAAATATTCAATTGATAATGTGTATGTATAATACTCTCATTTTCTTTAAATAATATCTTTTTTAAAAAAAAAATAATGAATGAAAATAATATGTTAATGTTTTAACTCCAATTTTTCAGAATAATTGGCAATTAATGCCTGTTTAATTTTTCTATATTAAATATAAAAATGTTTTTATCAAAACTTTCATATTTTAGGTTTCAAGCAATATTATTTTGTATATATTCAATGTGTGCTATACTGCTGAATAAATTTCTGTGAAACTATGGCACTCAAACTTGCTAGTACTACAGGCATATGCCATTTAAAAGTTAACTATTTTATTGTAGATAATTGTTTAAGATGTGATGTAACTTGATATTAATGCATTTAACTGTGGAGTGTTGTCAGCGTGTATGCTTGCCATGAAAATGTACTTTATTATAAGTAGTTATGACAAAAAACAATGATGTATAATCACTATATAATTATTATTTTTATTAATAATAATTAGATTAATAAATGATGAAAGGTGTAATTGTTGTTTACTTTTTTCCCGTTTCTATTTTTAACTACAACTTGTTTTACCTGTAACGTTATCCTCTAGGTTTGAAAAAAAAATCATAAACTTAGTTTTAATTAATAAGCAAAATACTTATTATTACTTTATTGTATTAAATTAATTTATAATACACATATTGCTAGAATCAATCCCATTCAAACACTAAAATTAACTCATTAAGTAGAAACTTTAGCAAAATATAACTACATATTTGCTATTGGCTATAAATATAGTTGGTAGCTTGTTAACTATCAACTTCTATTGTAAAAACACTTGTATAACTATCATATTAGCTATCAATCACGACTTCATTCACATGTAATTAAAAAATCTAATTAACAATCCTATATGCTTTTCTAGACTATGTTTTACATCAGTAACAAATTTCATCAAGATTTCTTGAGCCTTCTTGAGTTACATTCTAACAAACTTTCATCTATCTAAACTTTCCCATTTATAATATTAACAAAGATTGTCCCTCTCATTATCTTTAAATCTGTTTCAATACAGATGTTTTAACAAATGGTATCACACTCTAGTGTTCAAATTGACATCAGTACAATGGCAGGCAAAAACTTAATATGAATAGAAGAAAGATACATATAATTGGGTTAGAGAATTGGATTCACTGCATTTTAATTTGGTATTTTTATAATTGTAATGGCTGAAAGTTTCCTTAGTCTTATCTTTATCAATGTTAAATTAATAATGAATGCAGCATATTATCTATTTAATTATGCAAATGTTTTAACTTTTCAAATATATTTACACACAAATCATATGCAACAAAACTATTATACATTCTTGTCTTAGTCTTTTTAGACATCACAACTCGAGAACACAATTCAATATTTACAACAATATTTATTAGTGGTCACAATATATCTTCACAGTCTGGGTCTTTTTCCACAATGGGTCGCCGCACTCCCCTCTCATCCAGCAGACAATCTAAACATAATTTGTCAACATCATCCCATGACATTTGGTTAAACTTATCTTCAACTACTCTGAGTAACTTCTTTGCAGTATTTCCAGCCTCTGTGTCATTCATTCCTTGTTTCTTAAACATTTTTTTTGATACTTTGTACAGACCTACAGGGTTTGACTCTCTATCTTCAGGATATTTAATGGAACTTCTGGGTTTTTTAATTGGTCTATCAAGCTTTTGTGCTGGTACTTCTGGTATTTTGGCTGATTCCTCTGGTTTTTTAAGGGGTTCTTTTGTATTAATAATTGGTCCTTCAGGTTTTTTAACAACTAGATTTATTTTTGATCCGTCCTTGATGGCGGGATATCCGGCGACAGTTTGGTCATCTGCTAGTGTTCTACCTACTAACAGTAACTTTTGTTCTTTTACGGGAATACCAAGTTTTTCAAACACTTGTTTCTTTATTTCCGTTATTGTTGTGGTTGGAAGTATCTAAAATAGGCAATTCTATTACATTCTGTAACATTCCAGAAATCAATATTGTTGTTACATCTACTTACCTCTAAGATGCATTCCCCGCCCTGCAATTTTTTAACAGTAATTCTCATTTTGATTGCCTACAGTAAATATCTCTTGAAGTTTTCTATTTTCCTTAAATTTTCATCAATTTTATTTCACGTTGTATAAAGTTTACAAAATTATGATATGACGATGACATTGACACAAATTGACATTGAAGTGACAATTCTAGGTTGATATTCTTAGTCTATGGACAAAATGTAGAATTATATAATGTTACCATTTGTTAAGACGTTGAGTTGAGTTGAGTTTGAAGTTGATATCTAGCTAGATAAATGAAATCAATGAAATCAATATTATTGTAACATAATATGCAATAGTAAATAGCAAAATAATATTTTCATTTTTATCTAATGTTTAGTCGTCGAAAAATCCTATTTTATTCAATAATGTTTTCGTGGGTAATAATTACAGTGGATTTTAAGAGTTTAAATAGGCGTTCATTTAGTAAAGAAAAAAATTAAGCTATAGTTATACCTTTACGATATTAAATAATAAAATAAATGGTATTTTCTCAACTTCTTGTTTATATAATGCTTAAGAAGGTTTCATTTATAAAATGTAAATGGCCATTTAAATTGAAGACACTATCATTATATCTTATATTTTAATAAAATCATGTCACTGATCTTTTAAGTGTTGATAAATAAATTAATTACCTAGGAGATAAATACTGTGCTATCATTTGTATATTTTTGTCACCCAAAAAAACTTTTAAGTACTTTACGAAATACTATGGAAAATAAAATTGAATATAGTACTCTGGCCAATCCTGTGATAATTTTCGAAGCTGATGACATAGAAGGTGATGGTTATACTGGATTAAACAATAATGACTATTCATAATCTAGATTTTAGGATAGATTTAGTGCTATTTACTTATTACAAGCGTTTAGGCATAGAATCCTAGAAGACCCATTTTTCTTTATTGTAAAACTAGAGGTGTGTGTTGTGTGGCCAATGATGCTTGAGAAAATTTTGATATTACATGTTGACACTATAAAATGTGTATGTAATGTAAAAATATGTTAAAAGCAGTGTGTACATCATATAGTGACAAAAAATTATGTATAATTGTAATCAAGTATAAGAGTTTACTGCATAGACATTTAATTTAAAGGTATTAAAGAGTGTTTTTTAAGTTGTGTCTATAAAATTAAAGCATTAAGAAAACCCTTGAATCGTATTGGTACGTTTCGTTTTTGAGCTTAATTCTTTGCCCTATTGATTCGTTTGCAGCGCCACCTATTGGTATTCTGTCAGAGATAGCAAATTTTCAGGCATTCTGAAGTGGCCCGGATCCGTAGCCTAGGAAACGGGTGTAGCTACAGACAACAACACTGATTAACGTGTTACATAAAATTGTTGGAAATACTATTAAAATTAAATTATATTCTTGAGATTTTACCAAAATAATAAACTTTAATCATATTATAGTGTTCAAATTCATATCGGAGTAATAGGAAGTTTGACAGCTTAGTGTGGATCGCAGATTGTCCTTAATTTTATGCGTTTAAATCCTGAGAGAAAACAAGGTAATGAAATTGTTAAATATACAATAGAACGTAGATCATGGTAGAACTGCGCAATATGTAGCGAGACAAGTAGGACACGTCCTACGCGTTCCCCCTGCGCCGTTCGATTGTGTCCCGAAATGTGTGATTATGTATATCACCTTTATCAGCCGTGAGTGGGAGGGTCGCGCCGGGACAACGGTGCCTGACACCGTCGTCTCTCCCACCCGGTCCCTTACCTTAACTCAATGTCTAATATTAAAATAAATAAATTCTCTGAAAATGTTACAATGTTAATAAATTAAGTCATATGTTAAATTGCTTTGTTTCTCCAAAAAAACCAGCCCTTGTATAAACCATATACCTTAAATCAGTGTGATTTTGTAAAATAATCATTTTCTAAAATTTTTCAATTGAAATATTGCCATTTAAACTATAATACAAACTGATTTGCTGACAAAATAATACAAAATGTGAACAACTATTACTGTTACATACCTAATACTTTAAATAATAAAAGATGCAATTTGACACACACCAAATATGACATAATAGTAAATGAGCAAAGCAGTTATCAGTAACACTAGGGTAATGTTGTTCAACAGAGCATATTGCACACTAAAAGCAGGTGCGGTCAGTGAAGCGAGACACCACCTGCCCTCCCCACCCCTGCCCTCCCTCAGCACCGCAACACTCACCTCAGGCCACAGCTAAATTAAAAAGCAAAACTACAGATAGAGATACACAGCAATCTGTATCATAGTAACCGTTTGATCAATATATTAGTCAGTATTTGTCCGTGGAAGCATAATGAACACCAGTAGTGAAACAGTGCTCCTTGTGCAAGTTTAAATTATTGAAAATGACGGAGATGGCGTTTGAAAATGTGTTTTATTTAGAAAGTGAGTGTTTTATATAGGCTATGTTAAGAGCAGAGAAGGGATTCGGAGGGATGAGGTGTTGCCGGGATACCCTCCCTAGATACTCTCCGCACCCCGACCTCCGCACAGATCAATAACATCTCCACAACCCGGGATAGTGTTATGCAATTATTATTACATTCAGTTCTTATTACTTTTATTTATATTTTAATTAGTCTTATCTGTACTTAAATATTGAGATTTTTATTAATAAGGTGTAACTTCACCAACATAAAGGGTTGTAAAAAGTAAATATAAAATATGTTGTACCAGAAAAATGTATGTTTGTAATCTAATGTGTAATTCCTCATTTGTTAAAATTTGCTCATTTCCATTTTTATTATGTTTATTAAGGTTTTCTGACTTTTTTTTTTAATATTTGAAATTTTTTTTTACTTATTTTAGGGTAAAGTATGGTGTAATTTTTTAATTAATTTGTTTTATAGCTACATTTATTTCAATAACTTATATTTTGGTCAGCATTAGAACAATAGTCAGTCTTATTTAAATGTTACGTAATTTATAAATCTGCCAGATAGGTCTATTTTTTTTCTTTATTAAAAACAAAAATTATAATTTATTGAATTGCACTTATCATTAAATATTCTTTGAGTATGATCATAAATTGTTTATCTCTCCAGCTGGGTTACTTCGGCGCTGTTCGTTATAGAAGTGACGGCTTGCTTAGTACTTAGGCGTGTATTAGGAATTCAGTTTTTTGGGGGTTTAGTAATATTATCATGTTTAGGTTATGCAGAATCTAGGAGTTAAGGATAACGAGCAGTTCATCTCCATGGCATGTTTTTTCTGACACTTATCATCTCTAAAGTGTTGTCTTTTAAAATGTATGTTGTTTGTTATCTTTAGACTTCGAGTGCGCGGGCGACGAGGTGCTGGTGGAGTCTTCGCCGCCTGCCTCGCCCGACATGGCGGCGCGCCTCGCCGCTCCGGCTCAGGTATACCCAAATATGTACAAACAAATATGCAAATAAACACAATTACCACATATATTCTTTGAACAGTTGGCCTAAGATTGTGGATATGTGTTTATACAGCCTTTGTTCTCGTCAATATCCTATGCGTTGACATTGTGCAAGTAAATTATATTTAATTTGTCTCCTATTATAACATTCTTTGCCACTGTATCGTTAATAATACTTAACGCAAACGATGACGTGTTGTAGGGCGCCGCCCCGGGTGCCGGGGAGGACTCACCGACGGCGGTGCGCGAGCTCATCGTCATACCCGAGATGCCCAGCTCCATACATCTGCAGCACGCTATTCAGCAGGTAATTGCTTAGAAATGACAGTTCGCAACCGCTACCGACCGGCACGGAAAGTGGCACAAAACACCGGTCCTTATAAACTGTCTATTTAATAGAGGTCAGTGGCGATACCTATTAAGAGTGGAACTAAAAAGGTTCAACAATGGAACTTCCGCAGGTGTCGAGCACGGTGGTGGAGATAAACGGCGACAGCTCTGGCCACTCGAGCCCCACCGCTGACCCGCAGCACACCTACATCACTGTAGCCAGTGAGTTGATACTATGATATGATGACAATCGTACAGCATGCTACACCTACTTATTCATAGTGAAATGTTTTCATTTTATTTGCAAATCATACATCGTAAATGTGGCTAGGTTTTTTATCTATGTGACATCCAACCTGGACTTTTTACCTGGAGATCAATCGATCGTTTTCACTCCTTGTTATATCAGTTGTTACTCTTTTGTCTTTTACGTAATCCATTAATTTTTTCACCTCGAAATATACCCAATATTTATACAAAACACTTCTCTTGTCTTCCGTTCGTCCTTTCTCATAAAATGTGCAAACCATGTAATTTTTTCTTAATTAACCATGGAGTTCCTTTCATGCTTAGGTTGCCAACTACAAACAGAATTGCCTTGTTAATGTATAATAGTTTTTTAAATCTTTGTTTTGACGTCCAGTATCTACCTTGCTGTTTTTTTTAAATGGAAAAATTTTAAAGCAAAAGAAAAAGTATAGTTGCTTTTTATGTGTGCATGTATAAAATTATTTAAGTAGTTTTTTTAAGCAATTTTAACAGATCTAAGATAATGTACCTTTCTCACGTCTATTATAAATGGTTAAGAAATCGATATAAATTAAAAGAATCAATCTTAGTTCTGTTAGAACTAGTTAGACAGCAGGTAAAGCTTTCGTGGCAGCATTTGTTAGTTTGCAGATCGCCTTACTTGTATGTCTCGAAGGTTTTAGCTGCCCTTAGTGTGTACGCACCGTTGCACAAGTTTTATGTTGTGTGTTGTGGCACAGTCGACGGGGCATGGAAGAGAGATGACACTCGCCAACTCAAGGTGGAGGCTCCCAGCGACGAAGAAAGCAAGTTGTTTTTTTTATTTTATTTTTTATTTCATTTATTCTTCCTTGGGGCTTTGCATGTTTTTTTTACAATTTGTCTGTTATAGCTAAATGATTAACAATTTCATGTAAGTATACTAATTTTAAAACATTAACTTTTAACAGCCGGGTGGTTTTGGTAACGAATCTAACGCAGTTTCTAACAACAAGTTTTTACTAGGCTATTTTTAAGTACTTATTTGGTAATAGAGAACAGTGTGAAACGATGTGCATATTTTTTATTCGTTTTTATAATTAAAAATTTACTTATTTCTATAGGGTTGCAATGATAAAAATATATTTGTTTATTTCCATATTTCGGATGGAATATCCTCTATTTTTTTCTCAGTTTGGTAAATGTTACATGATTTTTCTTGTCAAAAGCTTTCACTTGTTAGACTACACCTACGGCACACGTGCCGAGGGAGAGTGTAATCGCTCATTATTATGTCGGATATCGTTACAAACAGTGGCCCAGCTCAGCAGCTCCCGAGGAAGCCCCTCATTGATGTTTCAATTACAAAAATACATCGCAAAATCTCACCCCTTGACGTCTCATATCACTGATTATCTCCCACCTGTTATACCGCTACATTCAAATGTAAATTAAGACTTCAGGGTTCGAAATAAGGTTCAGAATTAATAATGTTGCAATGATGAAAAAAAATCTTAATAATAGCAAATAATTGGTGATGCCCCATCGGATTATTCAGGTGGATGCGCTCAAATGATGTAGTGAAGGGTGCGTAAGATATTGTCTATTGTGATATGCGATAGTCCACCTGCGCTGCTTACCTTTGATATGACGCGTGCCGCCTGGTTTATTGGACGACGCTTTTACTGCTGCCTATGTTGTTAGCTAAAGTATATACGAGTACGATTGTTGTACACTTGTGTGCTCCCAAACATCGATTGTGTCTCGACTCGCTAACATCAAATCGGAATATGCTAGGTATTGTCAATAAAGTGATCTTACATAACGATACAATTTTCATTTTTAATATAAAATTTAATGATAATAATTACATTGTCATATTTTATTACACGATGTTTTTCTTTTTAACTTGTCCCATTGATTTTTTTTGGCTGTAGTAAGGTAATATGAGTTTCATTTTCATTCAGTCTGAAGGAACTGGAACTTTGGTCTTTTATTTACTTTATGTGGTTTCTTATTTTTTTTCATATTATAAGGTGGTATACGAGCATGCGGCCACCTGAATACGTCGATATAGCGAAGCGATTGCTAGCCATAAACAATTGCAATTGCATTACATCTACAAACCGCTTGTCTTGTGTGGTCGTGGTTGACAGACAGGTGTTGTTACCGGCGTCTACCACTGTAAAAATTAGCTATGTATCTTGATGAAGATACTTCTTCTGTGATCATCACTTTCTGTTCTATTATAATGTTATTGCCAACACGATAGTCGAAGTTGATAGCCGTGTTGATAGTTTCCTATACATGACTTTCTTGACTTCCCATTATCCAAACACCTGTACAAAAAATTATGTAGGCAGTTTTACGATGTAAGAATAATTTCACCTGTTTCATTTCATCATGTTTGAAATTGTAGGAATCTTATTTAAATTCATAAGTAATCAGCGGCACGTTGTTTGAAACATCTATAATCTTTAAATCTATCAATCTGAGACGAGCACGGCTGAATCGAACATCATTTCTCGATATGACAAAGGGCATTTTATTAGTTGTAGTGGCTCCAGCTTCCTCCGACAGGTTCTATACTAGCAAACATTTAAGATCCCCTTGTACTTTAATTTAGTAATATATAAATATGTATATTACTAATCTCAGGTAAGTATATAAACATCAAAATGCGGGGTGATTGTTGTGTCGTGAAGTGGCGACAATGGCGGGTAGGGTGAGGTGGCGGGGTAGGGCGAGGCGGAGCGGGGGCGCGGGGCGGTGTGCCGGCGTCCGCAGGCGAGTTGCCCGGGAGATGTCCGTCGGTATGGAGGTGCCTCGCTACCGTTTCTGTGAGTTCCCATGTGAGTGTCGCGCCCTCACCCTGTCTTTGCTCTGAGGAGGTCTACATCCAGCCCGGAGACCAGGGACCAGAGTAGACGTTGAATTTCTTCCGTTGCTCGCTTTACTTGAAACTTTTAACTTCCAATGGTTCTAAAAATAACTTAAAATTTCAATAATCTTAATCTTAATTGAGGCCTTGTTTATTTCTTTAATTTTATTTCATGTAAAGGATTTCTCACAATAGTCTGTTTCATAATTCAATTGGTTTAGATTAGCGTTTTCTTTTTATTGTACTAAAATAATTTTAAATTATATTTAAGGATTTTTCCTTAAACTTATTTGTTCTAATAAGAAATTAATCATATTAACAATCTTAAATAATCATTTAATTGGAACATTAACATAACATGAAAGTGGTTAAAAGTGTATTTTGCATGTTTAAAATTTAGTATAGATACCGTGGCACTCTCGTGGAATGCTGAAGCTCATCTCATCCTGTGGTCAGTCTGTCTGTAGGGGACATGCATGGAGTTGTTGATTATTGAGGTTAACGTGTGTGGTGGATGTGCAGGCGAGAGCGGCAATGGCGTCAACTACCACGTGCAGTACATGGAGCCGCAGGAGCTGTACGCCCAAGGTCATCAGCCTCACATGTAAGATTTATACCTTTTGTTCACTTTTTTGATGATTTTGATGACGAAATTAATCAATCAGCGCGTATATCAGAAAAAAATGTCTAGTCTAAACAGTTGTGTTACGGTGCAGGGAGCAGCTGCGCACGTACCCGGTGTACAATGTGGCGGACGTGGCCAACGGGCAGAACGTGGGCCTGGACGTGGGCGGCGTGGCTAGCGTGGGCGTAGGCGTGGGCGTGGGCGTGGAGAGCGCGGCGGAGGGCGCGTGGGGTGGCGACTTCACGTTCGCGACGAGCAACACGGTGGCCGCAGCCGAGCCGGACGCACCCGCCTCGCCCGCAGCGCCCGCCCGCATGCCGCCCGCCACCGTGCAGTGGCTGCTCGACCACTACGAGACTGCCGAAGGTAACACCTTATATCACGGTCCAATGCTAAAAGTAACATAGCAAATAAACGAGCCTGTTCTCCTCGGCTCGGGACTTTTTGAGAGCTTTAAATACTTTGATTGCATTACGAGACTCTGTACTGTATAGGCGTGTCGCTGCCGCGGTCGAGCCTGTACGCGCACTACCTGCGGCACTGCGCGGCGCACAGGCTGGAGCCGGTGAACGCGGCCTCGTTCGGCAAGCTGATCCGCTCCGTGTTCGTGGGCCTGCGCACGCGCCGCCTCGGCACGCGCGGCAACTCCAAGTACCACTACTACGGTATCCGCGCCAAGCTCGGCGCCGACTCGCCGCTCGCCTCGCATGGCGACAACCAGGACACCGACCTGCAGGCTCGTGACGCACTTATTTATATGTATGCAGAGACATATAAGACAGTGGTTTGATGTAATACAATGGTCGTGTGCAGGAGCGACAGGCGGGTGAGGGCGAGGGCGTGGAGGGCGCGGAGGGTGCGGGCGGGCCGCACCGGCAGTACTTCGGCTGCCCGTCGCCGCCCGAGCCGCCCGAGCTGCGCGTCACCTCGCTGCCCCCCGACATACCGCTCTCCGCGCTCGACGCGCTGCGCAAGCACCACCGGTACGTATGTCATTTTTGTTATATCGACTCAGGAGCAAGGATAATAATCTGTCAAAGATGCGAAAGTAAGAAGTTGGTAGGTGAATAGACATGGGTGGAGTAGAGTAGCGTAGTGTAACACGCGGTGGTGGCGGTGCAGCGAGCACGGCGCGGAGCTGCTGTCGGCGGTGGCGGCGCTGGACATCGGCGGTGTGGAGCGCGCGCGGCGCGTGTTCTGGCGGCGGCCGCGCGCGCTGTGTCGCCGCCTGCTGGTGCGCCTGTGTGCGCGTCGCGCCGTCGCCCGCTGGCTGCTGCGCGCAGACCTGCAGCTGCACCAGGCCGCCGTCGACCTGCTGCTGCCCGACGTGCTGCATCCCATACCCTCCCACCTCACGCAGGTATATACTTGTATTTCGTCACTAATGGTGATGCGATCCCGCCGAAGCGAATCGCCGCCACGTGTAAGTTTGTACGGTGCAGTCGATCCGCAACTTCGCGAAGCTGCTGGAGGGCGCGCTGTCGGCGGGCGGCAGCGGGGCGCCGGCGCAGGCGGTGCGGGCGCAGGGTGCCGCCGCCGCCGCGCTGGCCGCCGCGCTGCGCCGCTACACCTCGCTCAACCACCTGGCGCAGGCCGCGCGCGCCGTGCTCGTCAACCACACACAGATCGAGCAGGTGACGCGGTGACGCGGTGACGCACTGACTCACATTTAAATACTTACTTTATATTGCAATCATTATTTTATCATTATTTAGTTGATGATGCAGAGGGATCCGATCCGGTCCAGGGATGTCTTTAATTGAAACATCCAGCGAAGAATGTTATTTGAAGATAAGTGTGTGTCACCCGTCAGATGCTGGCGGACCTGAACCGCGTGGACTTCCGCGTGGTGCGCGAGCAGGCCGCCTGGGCGTGCTCGTGCGGCTCCTCCAGCGCGCGCAGCCTCGAGCATGACTTCAAGGTGGGTACCGACACTCCTTCCCTTATCGCTATCATACCTCTTGGCATACTGCGACTACATTCAGTGTCGATGTAAATCCAAGATGGCCGCCTTCACAAAATTACGGGCGACTTTGCACAAGACGACCATGGATTTTATTAGAAGGATGGAATAATTAAAACTCAAAAATGAATTGTTAAAGTAGTAATTGACCTAAAAATAATTTTTAACATTAAGGATATTTTATATTTTATTTTAACAAGAAGGACATTATGTAATGTACTGAAAAATATTCATAAAAAAGCAATGATTATTGGAATATGAAGTTATCAAAGCTGTGATTGTTCTGTAGCTGAGCTGACCATGCTACATGCGATAGCTTTAAATTACATTTGATTGCTTATAACACAAATATCATCGAACTAATGAAAGTTGCAATTTTTTTAAGATGAAAATAAAGTTAAATCTCGCTAAAAAGTGTTGATAAACCACTCGCCTCGTTGGTAAGGCAAGTTGTATATAGTATTCAAATATATATGCGTAGAATCTCTGTACAAAATGTAAATAAGTGCACATTATCAGAATTAGAACGATGTATATAACATCATTTCATATAACATATAATGTAATTACGTAGATATTTAGTACATATTATAATACATTTGTGAGGTAATCTGCGCATTAATCGATGGCAGTATCAGTAAACATATTCCATTGATTCATATAGAGGTATGTTTCACAATGTACAGCAGAAAAAAAACATTAGAAACGTAGAGAAATAGGCGTAGTTTGTAAAATGTATTTTTTTAACATTTGAAAAATTCACCGCAATCGTAACATTAAAATGTAAATGTAAAATGAAAAATATAAAACGCGAATGTAAATGTCAAATCAGACAAATTGTAAATGTTACAAATGCGGTGGATTTATTTTTGTATGCGCTAATATTTGTAATATTTTTGGAGTTTCGTTTTTTTTGGACAATTCCAGAAAACTAGTCTCGGGATAATCGAGGCCCGCGGGGAGCCCATACGGTATATCCTTCTGCAGGCGAGCCTGGGGCGCAGCACCACGCTCGAGCAGTGGGCGGACTGGCTGGACGGCTGCGTGCGCAACGCCCTCGCCGTGCACGAGCGCCGCCCCGACTACGTCTCCCGCGCCCGCCGTCTGCTGCTCGACTGGTCCTTCTACTCCTCGCTCGTCATACGCGAGCTCACGCTCAGGTACAACTTGCTACAATACTTCCGTAATCCTCGGCTGATCCATGCCTCCAGATGCTCAGTATAGTTATGTGTGGTGTGGTGTGGTGCGCAGGTCGGCGGCGTCCTTCGGGTCTTTCCACCTGATCCGGCTGCTGTACGACGAGTACGTGTCCTACCTCATCGAGCGCCGCGTCGCGCTGCACACGCGCCAGCCCCAGATCGCCGTCATGCAGCGCGCACTGGTCACTATACCCGTCTCTCTCTCTCTCTCTCACTCTCTCCCCCACTCTCACTCACTCTTACTCCCTAATATTTAAGAAGTGATCTCCCGCTTGTCTCTTGTTGTCATTGCTATCATTTATGTAACGTATCGTAAAGATGTTTTAAAAGTGACTCATCGTATGTAGGAGGAGGAGGAGGACGACCTGCTAATTGAGGCGCGCGAGGGGGAGCTCGAGGGCGAGGGCGAGGAGGAGGAGATGGAGCAGGAGCCGGAGCCGGAGCAGGAGCTGGAGCTGGAGCAGGACCAGGAATGGGAGTGGGCGGACGATGATGACGACGACGACGACGTTGGCGTAGAGGTCAAGAAGGCCAAGACCAACTAGGCGAGTGCAGACATTGCGCCATCAGCTATCCTTTGCCGCTTTGATATGATAAACATGTGGGACGAAGGTAATCACAAGTGAAAGAATATTTTTTTGTTTTAGGTCCTCTTAAGCAAATCTAAAGTTGGCTTCGAACATGGAAGAAGATGAAAGGAGTTACATATTTTAATCTTCAGCATAGAATAGTATCGCCACGTGTTGTGATTAAATATCGATGTGTGTTAAATGTTAGTATATAATGATAAGATATATGTCTATGTACATGACATACATTTGTTTATGGATAAGTGATGCCATGCAATTGCCAGTCAAAAAATTTTTGGTTGAAATATTTGTTTAAATGATGGTTCGTTTAATGTTTGACGAGTTGCCATCCTCCAAACATTTGTCTAGTCACAGCGACTTTGTAATGGGTCTGGCCAAATATATGTTCACTTAATGCTCTATAAATGTTGCCATGTAGAACTTAAGAACCTTTTCTTTTTAATTAATAACAATTTATTCCAACTACGACATATTGTAAAGTAAAAATATGAATTGAATTTAGCATGTTTAATATTAAGACTATACGACTATGCTTCATTTAAACCTTATCTATATTACTGTAACTGGTAAGTGTATGTTAATATAAAAAAAAATGAAAAAAAATCTTATATTTATTCAAGAAAAAAAATGAGGCCAGTGTAAAGTGTTGCCGTTTTAGAGGAGAGTTGTATCGAGATAAATTTACACGTAGAGGATACAGGGCACTATTTCAATACAATGTTGTTAAAAATATGTTGTACATACACATTCTTAGCATAAGTATTATTCTGTGAAACGCTAAAATATTATTATTTGCACTTACCAAAAGTTTTGTTGCTCATGTATGTATACGAAGCGTTGCCGCTACGTTTATTATTTTAATGAAGATTATCGTTAATATTAAGACGCTTAGGTATAGTTGCTAAATGTTTGATGTTTACTTCTTATAATTAATATATTATTGAAGTAAATTGCATCACAATTTTTATTCCTTTACCCATTTGTACAAATGTTTAAGATGCGATGAATTTTTAATTCTATAATTGTAATTATTTTATATAAGAAAGCACAATGGTAATATTAGTTTCGTCCTTTGTATTTTCTTAATTGACATATTTGTCTATGGTAAGTTCTGTCAAAGTGGCGATGTTTCAAAGCAAGTGTGCTTTTTTTTACCAAATTTATCTTTCTCCAGTAAAGTCATACGGAAATTATCCGTACATTTGTATTAACATTGAGGCGTTTGTAAATATTGACTGAGAAAGAATGCTTGGTATAAAATTCGCTCTATATTTGTATAGGGTAATATTTTCTTATTGATGTAAACATTCCACTGTTTTAGAACTTGTGTATTTTCTTACTATCATTGCTGCTGTTGCGTTATCATTTCATCGATTTCTTTAAACTTGTTTGGTTTCTCTACGAAATTTCTTATCGAGGAAACTGTATACAGATAATCAATTGGTGTTGCCATGTAAAAGGCCTAAGTGTTGGTAAATGTTGTGACATCCATTCGTTTAGTCGTTAGTTGAAGTTGATGGAGTATCGATGTTGTGAACGCTTTCCGCAAATTATATTCATTGTATATTGCACGAGAAGTTGTGCTAACACCTAAGTTTCGCATAGCATGAGGTATATTATATTTAAGATTAAGATAAATGTCGAAATACCTTCTCGAATTTCTTCAGAATGTATTATATGATTCACAATTTGAAAGTAACGGAAAGATTGATTGATACGTAAGTACGCTACAGGAAGTTACGCTAAAATTTCTTTACTGACATTTATAATCTGTACCTAAAGGTGTATATTTTTGTATCGAGTAACAAACGCAGTGTTTGCTCCGCCTTAGTTGTTGCCTTACTACTGTATACCACGCGCCGGGCGTTGCTCGCGTCCGGCACACAGCTCTCTATTAAAATAAATTATTAGTGTTTATAACTACTAAATTATATATACATATTGACAGAATTTGTAGAATATTGAACAGAACAATCACAGAAAGATTGAAGTGAAGACTTCACTTGTCTTAAAATAAGCAGCTTTCGTTGCAAACTTATTTTAAAATTAAGTATGGGATTTAAAAAACGAAATTTTAATAGATAAAATTTTTCATGTTCTTTTAAATGTGTTCATTTCTCCTTAGCTTTCTAATTCGCCAGTTATGGTGTTACAATAAAAAAATATAAATATATACTTATCAATTGTAATTGGCGATGCCAATAACATCATATTGTCTTCGCAAAAATTGATTGATGAGAGCGCTCATACAAATTGTGTCGTCTCTGGTAATCGTATTAGATTTAAGTTGGTGTTAGGCCGATGTGAACGTCACTTTGATATAATGAAACGAACAATACAACATAGTGTCCATATAATACAGACATGTAAAAACGATCTAAAGAAAGAAAACATTGCGAATTTAACATCTTACTTGTCTAATTCACCTCATAATAAAAATACCCTACCCTCATTTCTAGTTCTAACAGAATGATCAACGAGGTCTTAGGTTGTCAGTGGGTCCTAGAGGTCCGGCGTTGTCTGAGATGTATCTTCGTATCTATGTATCACTAGTGACGTTCACTCGATAACTGTTGTGTAATCTATGTATCCTTAGAATTATAGAAGTCGTGTTAAGTGCTGGCAGACTGTAGCTAAAATTGTCGTATTACTGTTTTATGTTTATCCTGTATTTTTCAAAATGCATATGGTTAATAATAATCCTAAATGATATGAGAATACGTCACACTTCTTACGTCCAAAGAACTTATTCTGAATGCTTTTAGTTTTTTGTGCATCGTCTTTGTGTAATTGTCAATCAGCTGCAGTCAGGGAAATGAGCTTATGGTGAGCGGAGGTGGCGATTTTATTGATAAAGAATTGATTCGGACTGCACCATACATAGGAATTCCTTTTGCTTCATACATAATAATTTTACTCATTAACAAATTAAGGTATGTCTGTCTGAATGTCCTCTAAAGTCTGAAATAATAATATGTAAAGAAGAATTTTTATGTCATATCTTGTGCAGTCCGAAGGGTTTGCGGTGTTTGCAAAGTGCTGGTTAGGAAAGCGAATGCGTCTGTGAAAGCGTATATGTCTGAAAATAAAGCTAGTCATGTGTTTACATTGTTGTTTTATTTCTCTATCTCATGTTCGCAAGGAATTAAAAAATGTATACCACGTCCCACGGAAAAGTATACAATGTCCGTTTCCTAATTGTAAGCTACGTCCCCACATATTATTAGCCTTTCTTGAATTATAGTGTAGCTATACTTTTTATTTATTTTTTTAATACCACATGCCGTGCTCTTGACTCTTCTATCGTGTGGCATCACTTTGCAGTTAGCAGTAATAGAGTAGGTATTAGGTAAATAAAAAAAAATTCTTTCTCATAATAAATATTATTTCAACATCCCACATATAGTCTAGTCAATGTACAATAGAGGCGGCCTCGGTGACGAATACAAATCAAAATAATATTCATAGAGAAACAAATTATATAACGAATTCCGAAAAATTTGCACCGTCCGAAGAAAGAAGTTTCAGAGACGAATACAGTTAACCATAAATTTTATTTAACACACGTACAAAAGACATCTCTGTTTTTCAAAGAAATTGTCGATACAATATGCTTTTGTATGAGTTTTTTATCAATAAAATTCTGTGGTAAAACTTACAAGACTTTTACAAAAACATAAAAACACTCCTTACTCCGAACTTGATTTAATCAAACTAAATTATTTAAATGATACCTGATATAATTACATTTTTCTATTTATGAAAATGTGAAATTAAAATGAATTTTTAGAAATGAAACCGACGTTTAAAGGTTTAATATTTTTTTTAATTGGAACGGTCATTTAGTTAAAAATTTCTTGAACGAATCAATCAGGCATCAGATTAGTGATTTTGACTTTTTGAATATATCGAATATTTTAGTCTGTGCATACAATATATAAAATAAAAACTATAATTATTCTATTTATTAGTATAATTGGGCTATTAAATTATAAATCAACATTTTTTTAAATTTCTAATTAACATAAAATGAAGTGATTTATGTTACAACGGTCCAACATAATATTAAATCTAAGAAAATCAAAATTAATACTAAAAGCACAAATTCTAAAAATAGCGGCAAATAACACATCGAGTGATGACATTGACAGCTGTCAAATTTGATATGTCTGCGATTATCTATGCCACAGACAACAAATACAATTAATGATTTTAAAAGTAACAAGCAAAAACGTTTAGCAACGCAACATTATCAACAATTTTCCTTGTGTCAGTTTGTCCACGACCAAGTCACCATATGTTGGAGTAAGTTGAAGCTAAATATTAATAATTATAAAGAAAAATCTTTGTATATACAATACATATACAACTACACAAAATACACGCAATTTTATCAAATAAAAATGTTTAACAATTTGTTAATGAAACTGTGTGTATATTTGATTTAAAATATGACAATGTTACATCGTCTGATATCTTCAAATAGAAATTTCACAAATCTAAATATATGGGATATGTGTAACATGTTCTGAGCCAACCAAATGAAGTCGAGGGATAGATAGACGGGCGGTTCTTATATTTTTCTATATATTTTTTTAATTTCACACATTCTTAACAAACTTAAGTAAAGCAAGGATATCCAGCCTAATATACTATTTTTTATAAGCATTTTATAACTCACAATTTAAAATAAACAACAAAAATAAGCATCTTTGGTTCTGATACCAAGTACCAATTGTGTTTAATACAAAATTAAAATCCCTTAGTTTCTTATTTTATATCCTAGTTTTCATTTTTTTGAACAGTTTTTTAAGTTATTTATTATTTTTTCTTGAAATGTTTGTTTTGACTCTATTTTATATATTAACATATATTTTATATAATTAAAGAATAACGAACCGCCCGCTACGAGTCTGTGTGTGTGTATGTGTGTGTGGTTAGAGGGCGAGGGCGGCGGAGCGCTTGTCGCGGCTCTTGTTGCGTGCGAGTGTCCGCGCCTTGCACGCCGCGTTGTTCTGCAAATGCTGTGAAAACACAATCAAATTATTCAAATACTGTTGTACTCATGTTAAATTAATAACTGCCATGATTTTATCGCACAGTTATTGTTTTTAATCGAAAATTTTACTGTAGATTTCTCTTACTAAATCAATATATTGAGAAAGATTCTGTACGTTTCTGTGATTCAATTATAAATTGAAATTAAAATGAATGAAAAAATATTATTTTTCTAACCCGCTGCAGCTTGTCCTGTCTCGTGGGCGGTGGTGCGAGGGGCGGGGAGGCGGGCAGGGCCAGGGCGTGTCGCAGCGGGGCGCAGTGCGGGGCCAGGGCGCGCAGACCGCCGCCCAGGGCGCCGGCCAGCGCGGCGTACGCGGCGCGCGCACCCCACGTGTCGCACACCACCGCCTCGCTGCCCACACGCACCGACAGCTCGGGCACCTCGTCCTCCTGCACGTACAAACATTGCACTATCTTACAAATAGACCGTCATTATCTCCCTCACAAAAGGTCGGCACACAAAACTTTATTTATACGGCCAGCCGCCTGTCTGTCCCCTACTTAGGCGAAGAAGTAAAGAGACACGTCATTACACATTACGTCATTTACATGATGCGCAAACGTTATTGACAAAGAAATTGAATATTAACATTGTGTGTCCTACATTGAAGTAAAAGTAATTTCTAAGTGAAAGATATTATTTGTTACTAGTGAGAGGTATGTACGTATTACAGACCTCGAAGTACTTGAGTATATCTCTGAACGTGGCGCGCTGCAGCTTGCGGTCTCGCTTGGCGCGGTACTTGTGGGGGTCGCGCGCAAGCTGTGCCAGGCGGGCCAGCAGCGCCGCCTCGCCCGCCGCCCACACCTCGTCCTCCGCAGACCGCTCGTGAGCCACCGCCAGCGCTCCGCCCGCCGCCATACGCACCTGCACATTACACATTCTTTACATAAGATAATCCATCTATTCAAACATATCTTACTCATGTAAACAATAAAAAAATGTCTTAACCAAACTTCTATATCTAGCCATGATCGTTAAGGATAACACTGATGTTAGCCCCTGACTATAAAATTAGTGTTTTTGTAATTACGTCTAACTAGCTGTCGCCCGCGACTCCGTCCGGGCGGTATAAAAGACATCTTAATTAATAACCTATGTGATCCATGCAGCCGTTCTGAAGACACCTTGTAGCAAACATTCGCATTTATAATATTAGTAAGGTGTTAATACAATAGTGACCTCGAGGTTGCAGGCCTCCAGCAGCTGCAGCAGCCGGGCGGGCGAGGGCGGGTGCGCGCGCAGCATGGCGGCGGCGTGCGCGGGCTCCGCCAGCGCGAACAGCAGCGCCCATCCGTCCAGCGCCGCCGCGTGCCACAACCCCTCCTCCACCGCCGCGCCCGACACCTTCACGCTGCTGTCGCCCTGCACACACACACACTCACACACACGCTCACACCTCAATACAACCAACGAGAGAGAGAGAAAGAGAAAGAAAGGGATAGAGGGGGGGGGCGTATAACTTTATTTGTCAGCAGTAAGGTGATTTGCCTTAACCTCAAGTTAAGCCAATGCTATAAGTGTACACTTGTAAACAGCTGTATGTTAACTCTATTTTAATATTATTGCTTTCTAGCTGTAAGTCTACCATGTCAATAAATAAATAAAATGTAAAATTTAATGTGTAAAATATTAATTTGAATAATGGAAATTATCAAAAGAATGAGAAGAAGAAAAAAAATCCTATTATATGAATATATAATCTTCATATTTATTGTTTTCATCGTAAATATCGCAAAGTCTTCAGTAAATGAAATGATTCATGAGTCGTATACAAAGGAATATTTAAATCCGACACGGGAAGAATTGTCCAAGAGCAGTGAACTTGACAGACCTTGAACACGCTACGTGTGTGAGTCATGTCTGACGACAGCGGTCACGTGACACGGTACATATTTGGATGTTTATTGCTGCGTTTAGTATGGAAAACTTTTATAACAAAAGGACTAAAGATATTTTATGACATGGAATTATTTTTCCTTGGTTTTTTTTTTGTTCCTTTGCTACGCATTACAAAATTTACTATAAATAATAGATATATTTGATAAAATTTTCCTATTCTCGCAACTACAATGTGTTAATTGCTATCCATTTAGCATTACCTAAACAGGTTTGAATGACATTGTTTTTTAAGTATTTCTCATGATACTTCAATGTTCAAAGCAATTATGATGGATTTATTCTTTTAAATAAAGTGCTGAAATTAAATATTAAAATTATTTTTTCTATTTAGGAACCAAGACTTTATTTACATTGTATTTAAACATTTTACTGTTAGTTTAGTAATTATTTTTTTATGTGTTTTATAGTTAATTGTATATTTTTATTTACAGGTTTCAATAATATATATTAAATAAGACAATTTTATGACTTACTTTAAGATAGCTGCCGCTGAATATGGACTCATACATGCGAAGGATCTCGATAATCTCAGTGAGGTCATCCTCCAGTAAGTAGCACAGTACAGCCAGAGATGAGCAGCACTAAAAATACACACAATAGTAATTAATTTTAATTTCTTTGCCATGCAGCTTTAAAAGACTTTAAAAAAAATTTTTTTTCAACAATACACAAGGAAATAAGACAATACCTAAGAATGACACTTTTAGTACCTAGTAGTAGATTCAAACTACAGCAGCTCGTTTTTAATGCGAGCGCATCCTTCGGGCCGCTATAAAATATGCATAGCACTATAAGTACTCACATCAGTCCTAGTTTCAAGCGAGGCAGACTTGTCTGTGCAAGCGGCAAACAGTGCGGGCCGCACCTCCTTCATGAACTCTTCTGTGCCCTCCTCACCTATCTGCAAATATATCAATCATGCCACAATGCTAAAACTTGATGGAAAATATATGCATAAAATTGCTAAATAAATATTTTTTTGATGAATTTTTGCTGTGTTTAAGAGGGTCCCACAGACAACACATAAAAAACAAAGTAACTTTACAATAAAATTCAAAGCATTCATGAGTAGTGGGCAAGACAATGTTTCTATCATGGCCATCGCCAGCCAATGGTCTAGTTTAGGTCTTTGGTTACCATTAATTTTGTCTTGTTTGAATTTGTTTTCATATATATTTTAAATTTTTCTCTATGCCCTTCTGGCGACGCCCAGGCTTCATGCTTAACATCTGTTAGGTGTGACCAACCTGCAGTGCTAGTAGTGGTGCGACATTAGCGGCGGCTCTGCGCTCTCCGTCCCTGCCGCGGCGCAGCGTGCGCGAGATGTGATCTGCGAGTGTGGCGCGGTGGTTAGCCAGCAGGCCCGCCAGGTAACGACGCTGCAGTGCTCCTTGAAGGGAAACCAGCGCCGCAGCGCGCGCCGCGTTCGCTCGAGCGTTCAACGCCTCAATCAACTCCAGCACCTTCTCCTCTAATTTCTCTTGGACATCGTTTTCTGCAAACATTAAAGATTTCATATAACAATAATTAACAAGTCTTTAAGCTTTCAACAGTGAAATCCTTATTTCATTTTCACCGAATTCATAAATAGATTCAAATATAAGGACATTGATGATGATAATCATCATCAGCTAACTCTATACATCTGAGGGGCTTGGAGCCTACCCAAGAGGACATTGAAGAGAAGGGGAAATATTTGTGACCAATTAACACTCTAAATATGAATAACTTTATAGTACAAACCTGCATCTTCATGGTTGCTCTTCAAGTCAGACTGGCCTGATATCTCCGAGCAGTTGTCTATGGTCATATCTATACCAGCATCTTCATCTGAAGAGTATGCTTGCTCCGTTCTTTTATGTTCTGTAAGAATATATTTCGAAAAATATTATTGTATTTATTCCATACAAAATATTAGTACACCTTTTATCCTATCCATTACACACCAGTTCTTCACAATTTTATTCATGGCATGCCTTTTTAATTAGTTAACATATAAATTGCCACCAATTGGCCTGGTAAGTTTAATTTTTACAGAAATGTTGGTGGAATATGTTAAAGATTCAATCATTATATTTATGTAGTAAATATTAATTGAAAGTGAGCTTATATATTTCTTATATGCCAACTATTAACTAGTCATAGCAATTTGCCTTAAGTGTTTCTTGTTACAGAAAAAAAAAACAACCAATCCATAACTGTTAATATTGGTAATAAAAAGCAATACTGGTCATATAAACTGTACATCTATTTTAAGGATATAAAATTGATAATTGTCACAAAAATAATTTAACAATTAAAATTCTGCAATGTTCATATGTTGAACCATGACCTACAACAATGCAATTTTATCTATTATTTTGAATGATAATATTACACAATCTTTGTGAAACATTAAAAATAAATGTTTATCAATTTAAAAACGTATGGAAGACTCTGGTAAAAATTTGATTACCCTAAATGCCTAAAATGTTTGCATAAGGTGTTGATGGATCAGTACTGATATGAATTACATAATTTATCTACGAGGTAAATAAATCAAGGTCAGGTCGTTTGTTTGGAGATAGATAAAAATATAATCAATGCCACTAATCGCTTATAGCCATTGGTACTTAAGCCAAGCACAACACGTGTGTGCATTTGTTGTTATGAAATGTCGAAAGTAATAGTTGCGTCGTCGGATTGCAAAACGCGGAACTTATCTCAAAGGTTTCGAGACCTCGACAAACATATGGTTGCTACGCTAGGACGATGTTGAATTTATAATCGAATGTGAAATATGTACGTGGACTGTCATTAGTGCAGACTTGAGTTGCGAACACAAGGTCGCCGCGTGATCTCATTCCTGGCAAATTCCAATTTTGATACTAATCAAAGAAAAAGGAAAAACGATAACCATTATTATAAATAATGTAAAATATTGGGCGGACTTACCGTATTTACCCTTTTTCTTTCCTTTTGGCATCTTGATTTTGGAACGTAGCTGACTTACACAAACAAAAAATATATTCACTATTTATTATTTAACTATATTTCTCACTTAATCAAGAAGGAGAAAAGTTTATTATATCAGTTCTTATACAACAATTTGGGCACCGAATGTAACATAAAACTAAAATTTCAGGAAAAGTTTTTAACATGTTTAACCGTGTATCATGCACACACGACTCTGCTGCTTTGCGCAATGCGCTTTGTCAGCCTGTCACTTTTGTAAGGATTTTCACGTCATGCGTCATGTAAGACCGCCATTTTTGTTCTGTGTTGCTAGTTTTTTGATATATTGAATTTTATCAAGAATCGATTCAAAGAGTATATAAAATATGAATCGATTATTCGTCCTTTATGTTAATTGTAACTTCAGAAGAAGAAATAGTATAATAATAGTTGTAGAAATGGCTGTAGGTAATAGTTGAACAGATAAATATATGAGAAGTCCTCATTAAGTCGTAAAAAGATCAGTTTACAATAGCGCCAAACAGCGTAAAACACCTCTTTCCATAAACATAAGTGTGTAAATGTTAACATTTATTTGTAATTTACCAGCTTTATCAACTTTTTAGTACTTACTTAAGACTTGACTTTAAAAACTTTTTTGCTATAAAAATCTAAAGCAACATTGTAATATCGATTTAGAAAATCGATTCTTTAAATTGCCATAAGCAAAAATGGGTGGTGTCTTCCAATTAAATTGCACCATGTTATTTTACCTGTTGTAAACCAACCATTGCATTAAATTAGAAAATGTTATGATTTCTTTGATGACAAATCATTTTAAAAGTTGCCTTTAGAAATATGAGCTCGACGCTAATCATCATGTAATATTAGCATGCAAATTTTACATGAGGATAAATAAAATATATTGCTTAATATTATATGATACTTAACTAGCTGTCGTCCGCGACTCTAACCGCGCGGATTAAAAAAAAACATTATAAGTAGCCTATGTGCTCTTCTAGATTATGGTTCTATGTTTATGCCCAATTTCATCGAAATCCATTGAGCCGTTTTTAAATTCCTTCAACCAAACAACTATACACCCATTCACCTTATTGATAAATTTTATCATCAGTAGTGTCTAGCCTTGCTAATAACCTAACTGTTTCGTACTGTTTCTTATATCACATTAAAAATATAACAGAACTTTCTACTTTAAACTATTGATAGATATAGCTAGAGTATTTTTTTTCATCAACTTCAGCACCTTACTTAATTTCCCGCTTTCATGATCCCTCGCCGTCTCCTGTGAACGTGAACCTCAGGTGATCGATCTGGACCACTTTGGGAATCACTAGTTGGAAGTGTCAATCTAAAGTTTGCGATTGTTGTAGCCTCGCACTTTGACGCAAGTTAACGTGGTACTAACCTTACGTTACGTGGTCTGTTATGCAATTGCGAACGATGCTGAATGAGTAAGTAATTGGAAAATATATTTTGTGTCTATTATTTCACAATATTCATAGTAATCATGATGTTATTAAAATGAGTAAATATTTCAAGAAAAATAAATATTTTTATTGATGAGAAAAACGTGCTAACGTAGTACGGAAGCTTTAGTTAAGTAAATCTAAGTTTTTCAACTAAAGTTGTCGTGGGTCTCTGAGACCAAAATCCTAGCTTAAATCATATTATCTTTGTTTTGTCAAATATAATGACAGCAATGACAAAATGCTTTATACAGAGATTTTGGTCTTAGAAACCAACGGTTAATAATTTTGAGCATTATAGAACAAAAACGCAAGAACAAAAATTTACTAGTTCTCGTTTTCTAACTTTCACGGTCTTTCAGTTTCAAGTACAAATTTCAGATTATGGTGAATGAAGAAATAAAGAGAGGCAAGGTTCGTGACAATAAATTTACTTATATTATTTAATTATATTTATAATTTATAGCGGCACAATGTTGAGCCAACCAAAAGTAAATCTCGTTCATTTATTAAAAATATATAAATACATATCTCTCACAGGAACATGTCTTTGGCTTCCTATAATACTAATCCCTATAAAAATTGAACACAACAGCTTTCTATAGTAAAATAAAACACAAAAGCAAAATAACAGCTACAGATATACTGAGAACTTGCGAACTATTCCTTTGCTCCTGCGCTCTCTCGTCCTTCTGACTATTAGCTGGGTCTATCCATCGCGCTTTCATTTCCTTCGAACCCGATAACTTGCCATATCTGAACTCGGCGCACTGGACGGTCACAACCGGTGGAATACCTTGGAATATCAGCCTCGAACTTTGTCTCTTCAAGGACGGTGACCCTCTCATTTCTTCAATTTCGCGGCCGTTGATGTACCACCGTATCTCAGCGTCGGGTGCGCCGCGGCAGTACGCCTGGATGTCATCTTCGTCGCCGTACTCCTCGGCGAGCCCCTCCAGCAGTGGGCGCCTGTGCTCGTGGCCGTGGACCTCCATGTAGGCGGTTCGCGTTTCGAATTTGTAAGGTGGCACGTCTCTCTCAATGTCGCACCTGTAGAGTCCTGTCGCCTCCTCGGTGAGGGCGCCGAGCCGCAGCCGACACGCCGCTGGACCGCACGCGATCAGCTCGACGCGGCCAACGCCGAGGATGGGAAAGGACCGGGTACTAGGCGCGGCGCCTGGCTTGTAGCGGAAGAACTCGTTGGGCCCCTTGAACCAGTTGAGCAGCGTGAAATTGGCATCATAGCGGCACTCTATCTCGACGTCGGTGATGCCTGGTGCGACCACCTCAGGTACGATTAGATGTGTGATGTTGAAGGTTCGCGTGCACGCGGCGCTCGCCAGTAGCAGCAGCACGAGCAGAGGATAAAGTAGCATGGTGCCGGGGCGCGCGCGCTCGCAGCACTGCGCTCCCGTTCCCGTTCTGACGCCGCACTTAATTAATCGCTTTATTAAAGTCCAACAACTCCGACACTTAACCGTTCTCTGCTCCCGTGGGTGCGATACCGAATTTAATTTTTTTTTGTCAATCCCAATTGTTAGACAAACTTTTAATTGGCTAGGGGTGGTTTGTAATTTACTCGGGGTGCCATTATACAGACAAGAATGTTGTAAATTGGATTTATGTAATCTAAATTAATTTTAAAAAATTACAATAAAATTAAACGAACGAATCATTTTATTTATGATTTTGTAAATTAACGTATAAAATTAAGTAAAAAGTTGCGAATGAAAACATTATTTGCGTTTCCAATTTGAATGAATAGATGTTGTACAACATAGATTACTTACTTTATTTACACAATGTTTGTGAGTCATTGCGGCGGTGGCGGCGGCGGCGATAGTGGGTCATTCATACCTTGCTATGGATTACGCTGTAAAGGTGAAATTCTTATTCACATGCTGTGAGTAACACGTGTTGTTATTGTTGGTGCAATATTTCTAAATAAACAAAAAACCTTGAAAAAATTCATATGAAATATTACGACTTCTTTATCATAAAGGAGGTTAATGATCAACTATAAACATTTAAAACAAACTTTTTGTCTATATTCATTCTATTGCAATGAAACGTACAAAAAAAACATAAGACTATTTTTGTACATGCGGCAGTGAAAGGGTTGAAGGTGGCGGCTGTAGCGGTTATCGTACGAATTATGATATGTGTCATCTCATTTCGCGGCTCAGGCGCACGAAGTAACTAATATCCGCTCTTGTATTAAAAATCCGGGGACAGATTGAATCAACGATGAAACTAAAATCATCACCTACTCTGTATTAATTCATATTAATTATAATTTAATTAATTAATACTTAAAAAGTAGTTGTGCTATTGTACCAAATCGTAAAGGGAAGACTTCAAACATTAATAAGTCAATTTCCATTTTTCACTTAATTTATGTCAGGTTTTCATGAAGATTTGGATCTTTTGGAAAACCTGTAATTTTTGTAACATGGTCTGTAAACCATGTTTGCTGTTTTATCAGGTTACTAAAATACCGAATGCCACTATCGAGAGTTCGTTCTGACAAGATTAGCGGTCAGGTACGATAATTATTTGATAGTTCTGGAATTTTTGGACAATTGCCATCGCCTCCATGGTCCGCGCAGGGTCACCGGCGCGGGCCCACGCGCCTCCTCTCGGAAACAACACATTACAATTTTATTAGCGGTAATCATCTTAAGTGTTATCAGCTTAATTGAATAATGCATCGGCATAGTAAGGAGCGAGTGCTTTGTTTTATTATATCTGTTACATCGCTCCGCCCTCGGCGTTGTCTATGGAATTTTTTAACAACTATGTTATTGAAACTATACAGGTAGGCGAGCTGAGCAGTAAACGTTACATCTAGAAATATTTTAATAGATGTCTACAAAATTGTAACAAAGATTTAATATAAACTTTCATCTTATTGTTAAGATGTTTGAGATAATTTGATGGGTGCTTCCGAAAACAATTCGTTAGTTAATTCCTTTTAATGTTAGAAAATGAGTTCATAAGTTCTAACTAAATACTAACCCTGCTTTATGTTAGCCTATAATTATTCACCATTAATTTTACCCATATTCACTTTTGTTTACAAAAATCTGGTATACATCCGAAAGCCTTCTCATTAGAAAGTAAACCAAACTGCGGGAAATACAAACTGACAAGCAGTTTTGCATATAGAAAAGAATAAGTGGTGGTCATTGTAACAGGATATGAGAAGCGTGGCGCGGGGAAAAGGGGAAGAGCGAGTGATGCCTGAATTGATTCCAATGACGCATTCCAATGAAGATAGTTGGTCACTGGCCACCTTCTTGAACTTGGATTACCAAGAAGTATTTATACAAAGTTTTAGTGTGGTTATATTAGTGTTAGTTTGTGTAAGTTTTATTACTATTGTTAGCGACACAGATAATGCGATATTATACTACAAGCGATTAGGCCGCCCATACAAATTTTTGCTCCAAATAATTTACAATTGGGTATAACCCAACTTGTCCATATCAGTTAGTGGACCTAGATACTCTTTGTCGCTTTGACCTAACGCTGTTAGTTACGTATTACGTCATGGCTTAGTTCCTTTGCCCGCTCTTTCGAGTGAATAATAAAAACAACAACAACAACGTATTACGTCAATGGAAGATATAATTTTTATTTTTTTATATCGACTCATAACAACACAATAGACTAGTCCCATGTTATATTAAGTCGTTCAAAAGGTACTAGTGTACAAACAAAAGTGACAATGACGATCAAGAAAGACTATGTATTTTTATAACCTAGATGGCTTTAGCAAGTACAAGACACTTTTTTTTTTCAATTTATTCAACGAGACTAGGTAGGTGAGACTAGGAGTGTAGAACAAGAGCTTTAGAATGGAAAATTGGTTGTTCTTTATATGGAGAACGTTTTCTTCAGTTTATTTTAGAAGTTGTTTTATTAAAGGGTCGGTTGATTGAAAAGAAGTTGCATAAAGTTGTGACTAAAGTTTTATAATTCATAAAACAAAATAATCTTTAGATCGGACGTTTTTCATAAATTAGATCGTATTGTCCTGATACAAAAGAGCAGATTCATGAAAGTCAATTTTTAATGTCCTTTTCAATTAACCTTTAATTTAGAAAAAAATCGTCATCAAGACATTATCCATTCAGACAGACAAGACCAGATTTATTAATTCAGAAGGTTAACAAGAAAATTAATTTTGAAATTGGACACTGGACACAATTGGAATTTTAACAGTGGTAGAGTCCGCATCCAGTATTTGCTGGTT